GTGTAAATATATTGCTACTTGCCTAGGCTATCTTGTTAGCATTATGAGTTGGCATGTGCTAGTCATAGCTGCTCTTTGAGATGCATACATGTTTTTGCTGTTGAAGCACTATGAATTTAATGAGCCAACCACAAATAAGATCTCTGGAATTCTGAGAGAAAGATGAGCAAGTACATCAAAACAGCATTAGGGAAAAAGCCTTTGTGCCGTTTGGTGCTAAGCAAACACTGATACCTTTTGACCAAGATGGAAGCAAGCTGATTAATCCCATTCTCAGAAGTCACTTCACTGAGGACAATGAAGATGGTAATACAGTCTATTTTAGAACTGTGGGTCAAGACTGAATGGTAACTACGCGTTGTTGTATCATTGCTAAGGTTTTCCCTGTTTTAACCCCCAAATGAGTAACAGTGTGAAACTTTTCTGTGCTGTGTAGTACAGCTATTAAAACCCCTTGTGCCAACACTGAAATATGGATTAAAGTTCAAAAAAGATGGCTGCATGTGTTGACCCACAAACTTACCAGGAAATAAATGCATCTATTTAGGAGCTGTCTGTGACTGTTCTTAAAACTTTATTGGGATTCTAGTCTAGGCAGGACCTTAGTATGGCTCTCTGCTTAAAAGCAAGCAGGGAAAACAGTTTGAGTGTTTAAGAGTAATGGCAGGACTAGAGAACTTCATTGCAGAAGGAAAATGAAAGTTAATGATTGCCCTATGAGGGGAGAATTTTGTCATGAAGTTCAGCTGTTTAGAATTGAATTCAGAAATGAGCTTTAGGAGCTAAACAGGCAAACCACCACCGGAAAACCCCCAACCTTTCCCCTGTCCCATTATTGGCATGAAAGTACTGAAGCATAGTTGCTTTTTCCTTACATTCAATTTTTTTATTGTAGAATTGATGCTATAAACTGGAGTTGCATGTAATTAGAATAGTGACATTAAAGATGCTGTCATGCCAATTACAGTTCTGTTTTTAACAATTTCTGACATTCCTCTGGAGTCTGTTCTCTTATGTGTTTACAGGTCAATGAGCTCAGTTGCTGTACTTCTTAGATTTCCTATTTCTCAAGTGAAATACCAACTGGTTCTGTAATACTGATTTGCAGTTAAGTTCATTACAAATCAAAGCCTCCCTTTATAAAGATTTGCAGCTTTCAGTTTCTAACCTTGCAGCTTAGTATGTTGGTTGGAAGGAAAGGCCTTGTTTAACTGTCAACTCTAGCCCAAACCTGTCAAAAAGCTGCAAGCTACTAAATTGATTATTTCTTTGATTATTCTTCTGATGTCCTTGTTTCTGTGTCTGTGTTGCAGAGAAAGCCACAAAGGCAAATCTGTGTCTGGAGTCTTCTGTTCCCTCCTGGCGCACTAAAGCAGCAGGCGGGTGGGAAATATTTCACATTTGAAAGGAAATGAAACTCATTAGAAGCCCATGTAGATTTCTTTTAACATGAGTATAAGTGCCTAAACTTTTATTTTATATATCTGTTTCCTCATTTTTCTTAAAATCTGTTGCAAAGCTTCAAATGCCATACCTATTGCATCTTTAAGTTCTTGATAGCCTGACTTTTATTTATTTATGTATTTACTTATTTATTGTTGCACCCACCTGTAGTGGTTTAAGCCAAGCCAGTAACTCAGAACTTCGTAGCCACTTGCTCACTCCCCCCCTTCTTCCCCCCTCCCAGCTCCTGGAGGGATGGGGAGGAGAATCAAAAGAATGTAAATCCCATGGGTGGAGATAAGAACAGTCCAGTAACTAAGGCATAATAAAAAACTACTACTGCTACCACTAATAATAATAATGATAAAGGAAATAACAAGGGGAGAGAATATAAAACTGAAAGGGGAAAAGGAAAAGAAAACAATAAACATAAGTGATGCACAATACAATTACTCACCACCTGCCAACTGATACCCAGCCCAACCCGAGCATCAATCTGGACCGTCCAGGTAACTCCCCCAGGTTCATATAGTGGGCATGAATATATGGAATATATTAATGGTATGGAATATAGAATACCCCTTTGGCTAGTTTGGGTTAGGTGTCCTGTCCCTGCTTCCTCCCAGCTTCCCATGCCCCTCCTCACTGGCAGAGAATGAGACTGAAAAGTCCAGATTGGAGTAAGCATTACTTAGCAAGAATTAAAAATATTGGTGTGTTATCAGCATTGTTTTCAGACTAAAGTCTAAAACACAGCACTGCACTATCTACTAAGGAGAAAAATAACTGTTGCAGCATAACTGAGGAGACCACCCAAGTGTCTCTTCATCATTTACAAAATGTAGGCTTCTTGCCTACACATCTGGAAGTGATCCTTCCTAGGTTATCCTGTTGCTGCCTAGAATAAGCCTATTTGAAAAATGCTTACAGAATCATAGATTCTTAAGTTTGTTTCTCACCTTCTGTTAATTCTACAAACCTATTACAGATCTAAGTCAGGAAGACAATTTTGCAATTTTAGTACATTGTCTAGGAGGCAAGAACATTAATTTATTTTGTTCTTGTCCTGGGTTCAGCAGTAGCAGTCATTTTTCTCCTTCTTAGTAGCTGGTGCAATGCTGTGTTTTCGACTTTAGTCTGGGAACAGTGCTGATAAAACACCAATGTTTTTAGTTCTTGCTAAGTGATGTTTACTCTGAAAAAAGGGGGCACAAAATCACAAAATGGAATATAGAAACCTTTAGAATTAGATTTAAGTAATATTACGTTTGATGGCTTTGTAACCGTAGCAATGGAAAATTACTGAGGTGCATGATACATAGAGAAAAAAATAGAGTACAGCTAGAGAACATACTGAGAATTCTCACAAGATAAATTGTTATAGTTGTGACATAGTTTAAGAAAAACAGTCTAGAAGAACAGGACACAGGGATAAGGAGTATCTGGGAACCGCAAGTGTCCAGGATGGGCTACAGTTAAACTAACTGATAAGTAGGAGGATAGGAGGATTATTATGTCTCTGGTGCTAACGAACCAATTAAGCTGGTATGAGCATCTACTGTGCATGCTTCAAAGGCTGCCAGAAGTGATGAAGATTGTTGGAAGAAGTAAACAACCCTCAGAGACCACCACCACAATTCTGTACGCATGCGGGGAACTTTCTGGAAAATGATGTAATCCATACATAGCCTCATGAATATGTATGTATGCCCAGTGGCTATAAAAAGACGGCTTGTGTGGCAATTGAGAGACACACGTTAGGAGGAGCTATCCCCCCCTGTCTCCCGGCACCGCAATAAAGAATACCTGCTTGTCAGCTTGAAAACTTTGTTTGCAAGTTTGTTCCTGGAGTTTTCTCCGAATCAATTTGGCACCCCAGATGGGACCCTCTCTGCTCGGCTGCAGGACCTGCTGAGGACAGGGCTCCCTAGGGCCTATCAAGGACTTTTTCAGTCTCATGCTGTGCTAGTGAGGAGGGGCATGGGAAGCTGGGAGGAAGCAGACAGGACACCTGACCCAAACTAGCAAAAGGGGTATTCCATACCACAGCATGTCATGCCCAGTACATAAACTGGGGGGAGTTACCCTGAAGGCCCAGATCGCTGCTCGGGTCAAGCTGGGTATCGGTCAGTGGGTCGTGAGTAATTGTATTCTTTCCCCTTGTTATTTTCCTTAATAGTAGCCATAGTAGTTTTGTATTATACCTCAGTTACGGGGCTGTTTTTATATCAAACTGTGTGATTTACATTCTCTTGATTGTCCTCCCCATCCCTCCGGGAGCACGGGGAGGAAGAAGGGGGGGAGTGAGCGAGTGACTGTGTGGGTCTGAGTTACTGGCTGGGTTTAAACCATGACAGTTCTGTTTATGAAGTTCAGTTTTTTTGTTTGGTTGTTGTTTTTTTTAAAGTAGATCATTAAGATGCAGGAACAGTAAAATATGTATGTTCTGTTAATGCATCTGATATTCTTTGCAGGGCCATAATATTTAGAAGATATTGCCTTTAAGACTCCATATATCTCCATAGGCTTTTGGGAGTCTTTTCTATTAAATTGCAATTATGAAGACAACTGGATACAAACTACTTCTGGAGTTGTAAAATTGTGTTTTATTTCCATCTTCACTTTTACCCTTTGTCTTCTTGGTTTCTCTGCCTTATTGCATCAAAGTAAACATGATGCATAGTAACTTTATGTCTTGCCCAGAATGTCCTTTGCTCTGTAATGTTGTCCTATATTCTTGTATATTTAACAAGAATTTTAATATTCTGTAGAAAAAGGATATATTGTGATTAGCTCAATGAAAAAATTAGGAAAGCTTTTTTTTTGCATTGCTTGTCACTTGGGAGATTACTAGTTCAGGCAAAATGGAGTCGTAGTTAGTCCTGGTTTGTAAAGTGCCCTTCCCCATTTTTGTCACCGAATTGTTTTTTTCCTGGGATTTTGTATGTGCTGGAAATTGAATTAGTAATTCTTTGGGCCATCCTGTCTTTTTGCTGAGTCTGAATCAGCCAACCCTACAGCTGATCTCTGGATGACCTGCCATAGTGTATAAGGTCTTAGTAGGTATCTCCATCTTAGAATGTGTCCTTAATGTTTTTAGTAAGCATAGTAAAGTTGTGAACACATAATTTACCATTGGGTTATAAGTTTATTGAATGGCAGCTTCCAATGTTCATGCTTTTGTATTATAATAAAGAGGAGGTGACTTGAGGTGGATACTCTATGTATACTGGAGGTCAAGATTTGTACAGTTTTTAGTAAATTTAGAGCAGAACCTGCCCTGCAGTGATTATTTCCTTATAATGGAAATGTGCTTGACTACTCACATCTCAGGCTTTCATAGCAGCAGGAAGGAACAACTTCCCTTTGCGTTACAAAGCCCTTTAAATACCATTTGTACTGAAATGTACTTCTGCTTTTTATGTTTGCTAGCTCTTAATAAAACATCAAACTCCTTAACACCTTAGATCTTTGAGAGGAATAAAATGAGAAAAATTGGTGTGAAACATGTGAAGATATATGAGATCTCGTTTCCTTTATTCCTCTGATTCACTTAGGCATTCTGATAACAACCATTGCTTCAAAAGGGGAATTACAGAATTGGCCTGAACTCTTACCAAAACTTTGCAGCCTGTTGGATTCTGAAGATTACAATACCTGTGAGGTAAGGAGGCTTATTTTGAAATAGATTATAATCTAAATTTGACTATTCTTTGTCTTTCTTTATATATGCTAAATATATTTCTAGTATTTTTTCTGTGTGTGTATACACACATATATAATCTCTTCAGAGAACAGTGGGTCAAATTTGATACTTTTTATTCTATCTGCATTCTGTGTTCTTAGTGTTCATTCAAATGAATGTTTTATTTGCATAAAACCAGAATAAGACTGTAGATGGGTAGTCACAGAATCACAGAATAGTCATGGTTGGAAAGGACCTTAAGATCATCTAGTTCCAACCCCTCTGCCATGGGCAGGGACACCACACACTAAACTGTGTCACCCAAGACTCCGTCCAACCTGGCCTTGAACACTGCCAGGGATGGAGCATTCACAACTTCCTTGGGCAACCTGTTCCAGTGCCTCACCACCCTCACAGTAAAGAACTTCCTTCTTCCTTATATCTAATCTAAACTTCCCTTTGTCCTGCCCCTTGTCCTATTGCTATAGTTCCTGATGAAGTGTCCCTCTCTGGCATCCTTGTAGGAAACCTTCAGATATTGGAAGGCTACTATGAGGTCTCGGATGAAACCTGAAGTGTCCTAAAGTTACCATTTTGTGATGCCCAATCTTTTAGGCATCATCAAGCTGACCCTGAATTTTCTCTTACTTAAAAGTAGTGTTGTTCATTCCTCTTATAACTTAATCTGGAAACGTAATCTGTCACTGCTATTTCAGGCTAGTGTGAAATTAACTTTTTTTGCTCAGTGTTTATGAAAGAAAATAAATAAATACCAGATTACCATGGTTTTAGCCCAGCTGGGACCTCAGCACCACACAGCCATTCGCTCACACCCCCTTTCCCCCGTCCCCCAGGCAGGATGGGGAAGAGAATTGAAAGAATGTAAAACCCACGGGTCGAGATAAAAACAGTTTAATAACTAAAATAAAGTACGATACTAATACTGAAAAGGGGAATAACAAGGAGAGAGATATAAAACTAAAGGGAAAAAATCCCCCAAACAAAACAATAAACAGCAGTGATGCACAATCCAATGGCTCACCACCCACCAACCTGAGCAGCGATTGATCCCTTCCAGGTATCTGCCCCCAGTTTATATACTGGGCATGATATTCTGTGGTATGGAATACCCCTTTGGCTAGTTTGGGTCAGGTGTCCTGTCTCTGCTCCCCCCCAGCTTCTTGTTCCCCTCCTCACTGGCAGAGCATGAGAGACTGAAAAGTCCTTGAATAGGGTAAGTGCTACTGAGCAACATCTAAAGCATTGGTGTGTTATCTGCATCGTTCTCAGACTAAAGCAAAAACACAGCACTGTATCAGCTACTAGGAAGAAAATTAACTCTATCCCAGCTGAAATCAGGACACAAAACTACTTTTTTAAACTATGAGAAGAAAAAAAGCCTGTGAACACACAATTTTAATTACTTGATGCTGTGAAGCATTTTGTATAAAATAATCCTTAGAGATATGACAAGTGGTCCAAGATGTCATGCTGTTATGTAGTGTTTTAGTGCCACTTTCTCAAGAAAGAAGAAAAAAAAAACAGCAAAAAACAACCCACAAAATCCACCACCAACCCTTGGAAATGAAACTCAAATTGATTATCATGTCCAGAGTTCTCTTTTGCCCTATAACAAACCATTAAAGGAAATAAAATTGTATATGAAATTCACTTGGATGCGTCTGCAATTTGTCATTTAGTTTTCAAATAGATTTTGCTTTTAACCTTTTTTAAAAATATGATTGAATAAATGAGCATTAATACTAAAATTAAAATTGTCACTTATAATTTGAGAGCTTATAGATGACAGTATAAAGTGCTTAAATAAAATGCTTTAACGATGTTTTAATTTAACTCCATGTTTCATTAGCTACATTTACTGTGGTGGTGTGCTAAAATTGCCTGTTCTGTACAAACCTTAAAATGTTGCTTTCTTCAAAATGTAAAATAACAGGTTTTGAGGTTTGCAGGTTTTTGGTTTTTTGTTTTGTTTTGTTTTTTTTTAAACAGGGTGCATTTGGTGCTCTTCAGAAGATATGTGAAGATTCTGCTGAAATTTTAGATAGTGATGTATTGGACCGACCACTCAGTATCATGATACCTAAATTCTTGCAGTTCTTCAAGCACAGCAGTCCAAAAATAAGGTAGGTTTGGGTTTTGCACTGAAGTTACCTGTTAAAAATTTATTTACATGAACAGTGAGGTTGATATTTTGTAGATCATTTGAAAGCATATTTAGTTTTTTTAATTGATCCTGCTGCATGTGCAAGTTGTGAGAAGGCACAGAGATTTCATGCGTCATTAATTTCCACACTTATCTGCTTAGTTAATAGTTCAGCCTCACCTCTTTATGCATCTTCCAAATTTCAAATTTGTTTGACTTTGAAAATCAAACTGTTTCTTTTAGGATTTTGCATTTTATCATGGAAACTGCAGTGCTGTGGTTAAAATTTCATATTATGATTAGAAAACATTTATTTTGTAACAACTGCAGCAATAGGAGAGTAAAAAGTTGTTTGTTATCAGTTTCTGAGTTCTTGCAGAAAATATTTTTCTGTTTTAACTGCACTTAGAAAGCTCTTTATCTTTCAGCTGAATCAAATTAAATGGGTTCAGCATCTTTTTACTTTAATACAGTATTAATCTCTCCAAAGTAATAGGAGTATAGAAAAGAAGATTAACTTGTTGTTGCTAATATTTGTCAACAGGAACAGTAGCATTTACCCTGAAATAAGCCAGTGATGTGCCCTTGCTATAAAGAAAGTGAATGGTATCCTGGGCTACAGTGTTGCCAGCATGGGAAGTGATCTTCACCATTCAGGTGAAGCCTCACCTGGAGCCCTGTGTCCATTTCTGTGCTTATCAGTACAGGAGAGACATGGAGCTTCTGGAGCTAGTCCTGTGAAGTGCCACAAGGATGATGAAGGGTCTGGAGCCTCTTTCCTATGAGGAAACACTGAGGGAGCTGGGACTGTTCAGCCTAGAGAAGCCTCTGGGGAGGCCTTGTCAATGCATGTAAATATCTGAAGGGTGTAAACAAGACTGAGCCAGGTTCTTTTTGGGCAACCCAGTGACAGGACAAGAGGCAATGGACAAAAACTGAACCACATGTGGTTCTGCCTTAACATCAGGAAATACTTTTTCTTACTTGTGAGTTTGATCAGGTGCTGGTTGCCTAGAGAAGGTGGCAGAGTCCCCATCCTTGCAGATATTCAAAAGCTGTTGGGATGTGGTCCTATGCAACCAGCTCTAGGTGTCTCTACTTGAGCAGGGGTACTGGACAAGAATGTCCAACCTCAACCATTCAGTGTGATTACATGAAATAAGTTTTATAACTCCTGTTTGAAGATCGTATTGAAAGATTCTTGGAGGCAGCAATTATTGCCAATGGTAGTAGATGGTGCAGACTGAAAGGAAGAGTATAACTAGGAATATAACATGATAGGATTTAAATAAGATATGAAAACTCACCTAAAATGCATGTGCACTAAGAAAAATATATAACAAAGCATGAACTTGCACTTGTAGAAAAATAAGCTTAATAATTCATTGGAGCTAAGAAAGATGGAGAAAATACTCCTTTTTTTTTCCTTATCACATTAAAAACAGTCTTTTTCTTTTTGTCTGCTGTGATGTTTGTGTCTTTGAGATAATAAAACAAGTTTCAACTTAAAGTAGATTGCCTGGTGACCCATAGCCTGGTTTCAGTACATAGTGCTGAAGTATAAAGAATATTAGTAGTATCAGTAAAATATTTTATGTTTAAATCTGTCAAGAGACAACTTTTGAACATTTTTGACTTTTTCCAAGAAACGTCTGAACAGACTAGATGTTTGGAGTTACGTTAGTGCTAAAATTTCACCATGTTGACTTGTATAAAATTTTTAATATCAGAGAAGATCAATAATCGTAATATATGGAAACAGAACATTCTTACATACTGTTGGGAGCAAAAGTGCCAGATAGAGTCATCCTGCTCTGTTTTTTATGTACTGAATACTTTATTTAAAATAATTTATTGGATATATTGGAGTATAAGGTGGTACTTAAAAATGTGGTTTAGTAATTTTTCTTGATAACAGTATAGATGTGCAGATTTGTTCCCTCTTGCCTCTTGAAGATGCTTGGGCAATGTGATTTGCTTCCTAATGTTTTTGATGCATATGTACAGTTTAAAAAATGTTTAAGTAAAAAAAATATATATATTTTAACTGTTCCGTTTGTAGATCTCATGCTGTTGCATGTGTCAATCAGTTTATCATGAGCAGAACTCAAGCTCTTATGTTGCACATAGATTCTTTTATTGAGGTGAGTGTGCATTCTTGGTTGGGGGGGGGGGGTAAGTTAAATTACATAACTGATTTATCAAAAGCTTTGAGTAATGTTTTACAACCACCACTACACCCGAACTTGACATTGCTGTCTTCCCATTCTTATCTTCAATCCCCATTGACCAAAGTTCATTTTGTATGCTTATGCTCAGATTAGATTACTCTCCCAACCCAAGAAATATTTTGAAAAATGCTTCCTTTTCATAAATAGGAGAAACTCTTGTTGCATAAAGGCACTGGCAGCAGTCTGTCACTTACCTGTGATGGAGAGTTCAGGAAAGGGATCATCATGTCACCAAGTCTGGATGACGGGTCTCTCGGAATACTACTACTGATTAAAAGGGTGTTATTTGGGTTATCTAAAGTACGTTATTTACTGCTGTTATGTACTGAAGGAGTTTTCTAGCTTCAGAACTTCATTAATGTTTAGGGTAAAAAAATAATGTTCTTCTGTCTAATGTACACATGACCAGAACACTGGTTAACAATGCACATTGAGAGTCTGAAGAGTTCATTTGCTAAACCATATATCTTTAAGAAATAATATGGTATTTTTAGGTGTGGGGTGGGAGGGTACAGAAGTACATGTTTGCATATTTAGTTTGCCAGTCATATCAACTTCAATACAAGTTGAACTAGATTAATTGATGCTTTTCAATTGATATTGCTTTCTAACAGAATCTTTTTGCACTGGCTGGTGACGAGGAGCCTGAAGTACGTAAAAATGTTTGCCGTGCTCTGGTAATGTTGCTGGAAGTTCGAATGGATCGCCTGCTTCCTCATATGATTAGTATAGTTGATGTGAGTCTCATTTCTCAGATTGTGTGCTGTAACATGTTTGGGGTTGTAGAAATAATAACAAATTAAAAGCATTCATCAGAACAGGTATGTAACTCTTGCGCTTGCCTACTCTTTGTTTTCCTTCAAGACTGAGGTTGCAAAAGTTTCTTTTTGGCTAATTACCAACTTGACACTGTATTTGACAATGTATATGGCAGTTGTTCATACTTTATTAAGTTAATTGATCCTAAAATAGCCAGGATCAGCCATACCATGGAGCAGCCAGGCATTGTCTGACCACAAGATCATGTGAAAAATCCTAGTTCTAGTACTGATACTGCTCCAGTTTACACATTGAAGCTCACCTTTTTTTTGGATCTTTTGACAAGGAATGTTATTTTACATAGCTGAGATGCTCTTTGAGCTGCTAATGAAACTGCCTGCTATTACATTCAGTTCTACAGGTTAGTGTCATTTGATAGTTTATCATTCTAGATTGGTGCAGACTTGCCTACCAGAGGGCCAATCATATGGTTTTTGTCTGCTCAACTGTCTGAGTTATAATTTCCATATTTCTGGGAAATACTGGCAGTTTCTAGTTGCCTTTACATAGACTACTTGCTAGACTGGAAATATAGCAAAGATCAGTATGTTTCTAATGTAGATTTCACGTGAACAAGTCGGTCATAACTCAGTGTCAAATTCCATAAGGGCTAGGTCTAGACTACATGAAGGTGGTTTTTCTTGGTTTTTGTTTTTGGTTTTTTTTTTTTTTTGCTTTTGGACGAAGACATTAAAGAGACATAAAATTGAGGTGACTCATTGTGGCATATTGTGACACGGACTCAGGTTGGTGAGGATACCGAGACAAAGCTTCATTACAATCAAGCCCTTTTATCCCCTTGTTCAGTGCTTTCCCAACATGCACGAGCATGCCATGTTCAATCTCATTGAATTCTGTGAAAATCCCCTAGGTTAAACACGCACACAATGGTCCAATCACAATGCCGATCACTCTCTGTTCACGCGATGACAGTTCCACCTTCTTGCTTCACGTCTTGCCATGTCCTCTGACCTTCAACTGAAATTCTTTGTTACATCAACATCCTGGCTTATCATCCCAAGGCTCGTTTGGTTACATTTCCTATCTTTCAACATCCTAACTTATCGCCCCAAGGCTTGTTCGGTATCAAGTCCTCAGAGCTTGTTTTCAGAGTGTTGCTTAAGCTCATCATGCAAATCCTATTGCCTTCACCTCCCACAACTGATGACAGCCTTGGCCTGCTTTCTAGTCTTCCTACGTGTTGTCTGGAATTCCATGACAACAGCCCTGGCAAACATCATAGAATGGTCCTATCCCTACAGGCCCTTGTAAAAAGTGCCTCTCCAGATTTCTTGTCAGCCCCTTTAGGCACTGGAAGCTGCTCTAAAGTCTCCCCAGAGCCTTCTCTTCTCCAGGCTTAATAAGCCCAGCTCTCTCAGCCTGTCTCCAGAGTAGAGGTGCTCCAGCCCTTGGAGCATCTTCATGGCCTCCTCTGGACCTGTCCTTCTTATGTTGGGAGCCCCAGAGCTGAACATAGTACTCCAGCTGGCAACTCACAAGAGCAGAGGGAGAAAATCCCCTCCCTCAACCTGCTGGTCATTCTTCTTTTGATGCAGCTCAGGATGCAGTTGGCTTTCTGGGCTGCAAGCACACACTGGTGAGTCATGTTGGACTTTTTATCAACCAACACCCCCAAGTCCTTCTCAGGGCTGCTCTCAATCCATTCTTCACCCAACCTGTAGTTGTGCTTGGGATTGCTCTGACCCAGGTGCAGGACCTTGCACTTGGCATTGTTGAACTTTGTGAGGTTTGCATTGGCCCACCTCTCAAGTGTGTCAGGATCCCTCTGGATGGCATCCCTTCCCTCCAGTGTGTTGACTGCACAACACAACTTGGTGTTGTTGTCAAACTTGCTGAGGGTGCACTCAATCCCACTGTCCATGTTGCTGACAAAGATATTGAACACCACCAGTCCCAGTACTGACCCCTGAGGAACGTCACTGATCTCCACTTGGACATGGAGCTGTTGACCACAATGCTCTGCATGTGGCCATCCAGCCAATTCTTTATCCATTGGGTGGTCCATTTGTCAAATCCATGTCTCTCTAGTTTAGAGACAAGGATGTCGTGCAGGACAGTGTCAAATGCCTTGTACAAGTCCAGGTAGATAATGTCAGCTGCTCTTCCCTTATCCATCAATGCTGTCACCCCATCATAGAAGGCCACCAAAACTGGTCAGGCATTATTTGCCCTTAGTGAAGCCATTTTTGCTGTCACCAACCATCTCCCTATTTTCCATGTGCCTCAGCATAGTTTCCAGGAGGATCTACTCCATGATCTTGTTGGGCACTGAGGTGAAACTGACTAGTCTCTAGTTCCCCAGGTCTTCCTTGTTTCCTTTTTTAAAAATGGGATTTATTTTTTCCCTTTTTACAGTCAGCAGGAACTACACTGGATTGCCATGACTTCTCAAATATGATGGATAATGGCTTGGCAACTACATTATCCAGTTCCCCCAGGACCCGCAGATACATCTTGTCAGGTCCCATGGACTTGTGCACCTTCAGGTTCCTTTGATGATTTTAAACCTGATCTTCTCCTACAGCAGGTGTTTCTTCATTCCCCCACTCCCTGCCTTTGCCTTCTGGAACTTGGGCAGTGTGGCTGGAGCTGTTGCCAATGAAGGCCGAGGCAAAAAAGTCATTGAGTACCTTGGACTTATCCATGTCCTGGGTAACCAGTTCTCCCGTTTCCTTCTGGAGAGGGCCTACATTTTCCCTTGTCTTCTTTTAATTCCCTGTGTACCTATAGAAGTTTTTCTTGTTGCCCTTCATGTCCCTGGCCAGTTTTAATTCTGTCAGGGCTTTAGCTTTCCTAACCTGATCTCTGGCTGCTCAGAGAATTACTCTGTATTCCTCCCAGGCTACCTGTCCTTGCTTCCACCCTCTCTAGGCTTCCTTTTTGTGTTGGATTTCTTTCATGTTCTCATGTAACATGTTACAAGTAGGTATAGTTGGTTCTTAGGTGTTGTTTTTTTTTCTTTTGGTTGGTTGGTTTTGGTTGTTGTCTTTTTTTTTTTTGAGAGAGACTAAAGCTTTGGAGATTTTATTGTCAACAAGTGATAACTTCTCTGACTCTTCACCCTCCTAAGATCAGTAAGGACTTTGCAGGTATAAATGATGTCACCAACCAGAAGAAAAATCAAGACTGTGTTCTTACTATATCTGGTATTTTGCTGGGAAAACTAGTGCCAAGCTGCTTCTCTACAGAAGACAGCAGTAGTGGATTTTTGTTCTGTAACAAAGTTTAGACCTCTCCCCCATTTCAGGGCTACTGTGTACTGTTACTGTTTTCTCCAGTTCTGTATACACATTGGTATGTGCAAATGTAATATCCCAGAACTGACTATTGTTCAACATTCAAATGGGTCTGGTTTTGCCCCTTTGAAGCTTGAATACCTCCAAGCTGAATGCTGCTGATGGTGGCTGCTGTAACTGAAGGAAGTCTTAAAAAGAAACTTGTATCCATAAACCTAAAGAAAAGGCTTACGGAGAATCACTTTTAATGTAGTTAAGAATATTAATGATGCAGTAGTGATTTAAAGACAGAAGGTCTTGGCCAGCATCATGCTTTTGAAGCAGGCAATTTTAGTATTAGCTTTCTTGCCAAGTTCCTGGAGCATATAGGAATGGTTGAATTTTGATTTCAGTGGGGTTTTTGAGCATGTACTTCTACATGAGCAGATGTGTATTTTTGGTGGGTTTTTTTTGTTTGTTTTGGTTTTGGTGGGGTTTTTTTGTTGTTTTTTTTTTCTCCTCCCTTTGAGAACATGACAACAGGATACATCAGGAGTGGACTGATCTAACAGATTTCAGTTATTAGATTTCACTTGCGTGTTCACATTCCTATTCTCAGGAAACTGCTGTTTATTATCTTGGGTCTCTGTCTGTAGTTTCTTCATAATAGCGTTCTCACAAAAGCAGTTAAGAAACTTAGAATATGAGTCACCTGGCATTAAGAAATAAAGTCTCTAGGCTTATTCTCACCATAGCTTTAAATAGTCTCTTATATATATTTCTTCCTCTTGCCCCAAAGAAACAAAATTACTCTGGTAGTGTAGTCTGTTTTTGCAAGCACATTTTCCAATATTGATAGTGTCTTCTGGGCCCTTAAAACTTACAGAAGTATTTTTTATTTTTTTTTATATTATGTAGTATATGCTTCAAAGGACCCAGGACCAAGATGAAAATGTGGCTTTGGAGGCTTGTGAGTTTTGGCTGACTTTGGCTGACCAGCCAATTTGTAAAGATGTATTATGTCGGCATCTTACTAAGTAAGTATTAGGTATTAAAACTCCTAGTTAATTTGAAATAGTCATCTTTAAACTTCAGTTGACTTGTTCCTGGTTAGTCTTATGGAGACTGTATCTAACTTCTTGTATGCTTAGAAGGAGTTTTCTGTAGCTAGTTCTTGTACACAAAGGTCACTGAAAAGACTTCTAAGGATTTCAGAGTCAGCTCCAGAAGTAACCTGTGTCCTTTGCCTCATCAAGTATATCCAGGTCCCTGAGCAAAAGCAATGCCACAAGTGTGTTTGCCTTTACCTGAAGCAGGAATAACCCAGACTGTCTTCCCCAGCAGATTCTTTACGCACACCACAGGAACTTTATGCCCCTCTACAGTATGTAAAAATTCTGCTTGGGCTGGGCCAGCCCTGTTAGCAAATTCCCTGTTGTTTACCAACCAGGTGGCCTTTGCTAAATGGGTATCCCAATGTTTGAAAGTCCCACCACCCATTGCTCTCAGTATAGTTTTTAACATCCCATTGTACTGTTCAGTTTTCCCAGAGGCTGGAGCATGATAGGGGATGTGTTTGAGGTTTAAACATCTGTATGTCTGCAACAGTGCTCATAACTTTTCCAGACTAATATGAATACTCCTGCAATAGGAAATGAATTCTTCAATGTTCCCAGTAAATGGAGACTGGCTTTGGCATATGCATGGAAGGGTTTTGAAAATACTAGAGCATTTTTGTCTGTTATTCTCTTCTTCCAATCAAAATATTGAGAGAAGAGATGCATTCTTTTCAGCAAAAATGACCATTTTAGATGTAAAGCTTTTTTTTTAAAAAAAAAGGGGGTGTTTATCAAAATTTCAGTTTTCATAAGCAATTAGCAGAGAATTGAGATCAAAACACCTACTGTAGCCATGCAGGAATAGGAGTTGAAAACAGGAGAGCCAATGTTATGAGAAATTATTTTTAAGTTTTAAAATGTTTTTTCTTAACTTCTACTTTTTATATTAAATATCCACATATTAATACTTGTCAATTTCTCAGTATAAAACTTAAACATCTTCTGGGCTACATGAACATTGACATTGCAACAGCTTCATCCTTGGTTGTGGTGGGTTTTTTAAGGAACATTTAAGTTTCTAGAAAAACAGGTAAGAGTAACGTTACATATCTTTCAGCATCATGTTTGTTGGCAAGTCCTTTTTGACTAGGGAGCTATATAAATTTGCCAGTACCTGATGATAATCTTAAATTATTTTTATATTAAGTGAGACAAGATCCTATCCAGCCTGATTGTTTAATATTTTGTTCCTATAGGCTTTCTTAAAAAATATATAGCTCCTGCATACTTCATAAAGTATGCTGCAGAAAATGTCAACGAATGTGTGTTAATTGGAATAGTTACTGTCCTTTCAATAAAATTTCAGGCAGTAATGCACCTTTGAGATGTGTGAATATTATTGCTGGCCTGAGTACCTTCAGAAACAATACTCCTCAGCTGCAGAATTGCAGAATATGCTGCATCTGAGAGAATATATTGAGTCTGTCACTGCATCCACATCATTTATAAAAAGATTAAAGAGCATTGACCCTAAAATTGAGCCCTGGAGAACCCCACTGGTGACTGGCTGCCAGCCTGATATAACCCCATTTACTATATAACCCTTTGAGTCCAATCTGTCAGCCAATTGCTCACTCAACATATTATGGACTTGTCTAGCTGTGTGCTGGACATTTTGTCCAGAAGGATACCTCCTTTAGCTTTGCTAAAATTCAAAACCCACACATCTACTGGCTTCCCTTGGTCAACTAGATGGGTGACCTTGTCATAAAAGGAAATTTTCTTAAGCAGAATTTTCTCCTCATGAGCCCATCCTGCAGTCATCTGCATTGTCTCTCGAGTGTTTTTCAATAACTCCCAGAATGACCTCCATAGTTGTATTAGGCACTGAAGTGAGACTGACAGGCTGGTAATTACCAGGGTCTCCCTTATTGACATATATCAATATTTCTTTGTAGACTGATACCTGTGCTGGTAAATGGTATGAAATATGCAGAGATAGATATTATTCTGTTGAAGGTAAGCACCGATTTCTTTTATACTCTGGAAGAATATTTGGTTGGCTTCTGACTTGTAAATCAGAATGATTGAGTTGGTAGGCCAGATCTGGTCTGCCATCTGTTCAATTGAGATTTAGCTTTCTGGGGCAAGGTGTGCTGTTCCAAAAACTAAATGTGACTGCTGCCATGTTTGTTGGAAAATAATCTGTGGGCTTTCCTGCTTTGCCCCTGTCCCCTTCCACCCAACTTTGTCAGAGCTAGGATACTTTTACCCATGAATTACTGCAGCAAAGCAGCCTAAAGAAATTATCAGAATTCATTTTAGTGCCCTTCTACCTTGAACTTCACAGCTTTTTCCATCACATTTTAGAATGTGTCTGCATACTAGAATTTCTCTCTCTTCTCCCTTCTATAATTCATTCTTATCAAGAATAATTTCTTAACAAGAAGGCTACTTTGTGCTTTTGTGTTAGCTTACCTCTCTTGCTTCTATTTTCCTGTCATTTTTCTGGTAAATACTTGTCGTGGTTTAAGCCCAGCCAGTAACACAGAGCCACACAGCCACTTGTTCACTTTCCCCCCCCTTCTTCCTCCCCATGCTCCCGGAGGGATGGGGAGGACAATCAAGAGAATGTAAATCCCACAGTTTGAGATAAAAACAGTCCCATAACTAAGGTATAATACAAAGCTACTACTACTACCACCAATAAAAATAATAAGGGAAATAACAAGGGGAGAGAATACAACTGCTCACCACCCACCAACAGATACCCAGCTTGACCCAAGCAGCAATCTGGGCCTTCTGGGTAACTCCCCCCAGTTTATATAGTGGGCATGACGTGCTGTGATATGGAATACCCCTTTTGCTATTTTGGGTCAGGTGTCCTGTCTCTGCTTCCTCCCAGCTTCCCGTGCCTCTCCTCCCTGGCAGAGCATGAGACTGAAAAAGTCTTTGATCAGAATAAGCATTACTTAGCAAAAACTAAAAACATTGGTGTTTTATCAGCACTGTTCCCAGCCTAAGTTAAAAACACAGCACTGCACCAGCTACTAAGAAGGAGAAAAATGACTGCTACTGCTGAACCCAGGACAATACTGTAACAGAATACAGGAACAATGGTATATTTAGTTAGCTGGCAGCACAAGAGTGATGTGACTCTTTCATATTCTTATAAAATCTTTAACTAAGTGTAAACTGCATTCTGAGCTTCCTTGAGCAATATAGTTACACTAGTTCATCTGATAAATATTTTGATGACAGGGGGATGTTGAAGAAGATGAAGCTATTCCAGATAGTGAACAGGATATAAGACCTCGGTTTCATCGTTCACGGACGGTAGCTCAGCAACATGAAGAAGATGGTATTGAAGATGATAACGATGATGACAGTGATCATGATGATGATACTCTTTCTGACTGGAATTTAAGTATGTCAAAGTAATGTGTAAAATGTTTTAAAATATAACTATTTGCTTAATACAAGTGTCAGTTTGTGTATAGGAATACTGAGTCTTTGCTTTTGAATATAAAAAGAACTATCTGCTGATATAATTGGTGGTTGGGGCAGAGGGTGTGCCTTTTAGGTGATATTTTTGCTATATAACTGTATTGACAAAAGCTAGCCACCTGTAATCTTATTTCAAATATGGCCGATAGAGCTACAAACATAAACTTGGATGTAATTCAACAGAAGCTTTGGATTTTGAATTTTCATTGTTCTTAGCTTGAGGAAGCTTAATAATGCTTTATTTTACTTCAGTCTTCCCTCTAATCTGGTTTGTGTGATAATATTTTTTTTTTTCCTCCATTTGAACATGCTACTACTGACAGCCATTACTAGTAGTTCTGATGTAGTGTAGATGAATGTGCCTTGAAGCTTATGGATCAAAGAACTGTCGCAGTTTAAACCCAGTCAGACAGCTTGTTCACTCACTCCCCCCCTTCTTTCCCGCCCCCTACTCCCGGAGGGATGGAGAGGAGAATCGAAAAGAATGCAACTCCCACGGGTTGAGATAAGAACAGTTTAGTAACTAAGGTGTAACACAAATCACTACTGCTACCACCAATAATAACAATGATAAAGGAAATAACAAGGGAAGAGAATACATCACCTCACCACCAGCCAACCGATAACTCGCCCCCCCCCAGCCCGACCAAGCACCGACCCATACCTCCTCCAACCCTGCAGTCCCAGCCCTTCCGGGTAACTCTCAGTTACATCCTGGGCATGACGTGCTGTGGTATGGAATATTTCTTTGGTCAGTTCGGGTCAGGTGTCCTGTCTCTGCTTCCTCCTGGCTTTCCCTCCTCCCTAGCAAAGCATGAGGCTCACAAAGTCCTTGGCCAAACCAAAACATCATTGTTATCAGCTCTGTTCCCGAGCCAAAAGTCAAAACACAGCTCTGCACCAGCTACCAAGAAGGAGAAAAATGACTGCTACTGCTGAACCCAGGACAACAACTTTGAGGCATATCTAAAATTTTAAATTATTATTATTTTAGAGGAAAATAAGCACAAATATGCTTGCTTTTGTAAAGTATTGTTTAAAATAGTTTTAACTTCATAATGCTGTTCTTGTGGTCATTATTGTATGTACATATTGCAGAATTAAATACATATTTTCTGAAAAACATAGCTGAAATGACAGAATGCACCTGTGGTCCACAGTTTTTGTTAAGATGGTGAAGAAGCTAAAGCTAACTAGGGAAGAGAGAGAACAGAACACTTAAGAAATCTGATTGATGTATGTCATCTGGACTTGAAAGAATTTTTATTAGCTTAAATTCAGAACTGTGTGCCCTATTACTTATCTAGTGTTCTATATTTGACTTCCAATTTGAACAGAGAGGAAATGTCAGCATAGCCTGACAATTAGCAACATTGGTTACTAATGAGACCTGGTTACTAAATATGGGAGCCTGCCTTCTTTTCTTCTAGTAGAAAGCTGAAACGGACTTAGCTTAAAGCAGTAGGTGCTGGTCTTGGGGGGTCTGTGCTGTCTATTACTGCTTTGCAGTAGAGATCTGTTCTGAGCCTTGTATATACTTTTGTTCCAATTGAATAATTTCTGACATTAAGAAGGAACTGAAATCATAATAAGCAAAGAAGGAAAAGGCAGTATAAATTCTTTAATACGAGCATTATTTTTCTAGACATGATAGCACCACAACAGAAAAACAGAGTAAGGATTTCTGAATCATGTGCTGAAGTTATTCTTTTCTGAGCTTTTTTGTGCTAAAAATATGTGATTAAAAACTTTCAAACAAATTTTGAGGTGGTGTTCTTTCTATTGGTACATCACAAAATTAGGGGTAAGATATAAAAGCTCAGAGCAGAGGTCAACAAATTTCTTTCAGTCTCTAGAGACTGATGATTTTGCCTCTTTTGCTTTGAGACATGGATCATGTTTGAACATTTTCTTTTTAATCAGTTGATAATAGTTTTAGGCTATTTCTCCTTAGTTTCTCCAGTATGTGACATTTATGTCACAGACCTTCCCCTTTCTGTATTGTTACACCATCCTGAAATTATGTAGCGTATATAATGGTGAAATATAATAACATGGTTCCTGTTGGTAAGTGTTGTAATATCCCAAGTGTATAAGTCCTTTCAGTGGCTATAAATATGATGCGAAATTGGCTTTCCTAAGAGCTGTGACTTTGTACCAGAGCACAGTGGATCCCAGTGTATTGTAATTAAATGGAAGTATCTTTCCTCCTAATGCCCTGGCAGCTCAAAGTTAAAATGAGGATTATACTTGTCTAACTACAACTGTTTTTGTAATAAGCAGTTTACTGCTGTTAATTCCCCTCAGGGAAATGTTCTGCTGCTGCTCTAGATGTCTTGGCTAATGTATTTCGTGATGAACTTCTGCCACACATCTTGCCCCTTTTGAAGGAGTTGCTCTTCCATCCCGAATGGGCAGTTAAAGAATCTGGTATCCTTGTTCTTGGAGCAATTGCTGAAGGTAAGGCAACAGTGCATGTCAAGTTGTGGAATTTTTGATTGATTCTAAAGCAGCTCTGTGATTCCTTCTAGGTGAATTTACTTATGCAAACAAGTATACGTCTTTAGCTGACTTGGGTTTAGTGATTAATCTCTACATCTGCTCATTGGTGACTGCAGTTATTTAATTTTTTAGTTTTAAATCTCTGCATCTTTTGGAGACATAAGGCATAACTTAGTTTCTTTTATTCCTCTTTTTTAACTCTGCGGCATATATTTATAAGTTTCTTATAAAGTACTACTTTGATTTTGATATAACAGGAATATTTATTGAATTTGAGCCTTACATTTCATTCATTGTTTTTAGAAAGGGAGACCAGTCCTGTGACTTCAGTGCCTTGAGCTGCTTTTGTGGATGGTTCTCTGATTTAAATGTGATAACTTCCATTTCTTTGTATTTACTCACAGACTTGGCTTTTTACCCGTATTTCCAGCATTCCTGTCCATTTTTGCAAACTTAAGGAATATGTTTGGGTCCATGCCTAGATTAACTCTTTTCCTATGGTACCTAGTTAACATACATTTTGTTTGTTGCTAGAAAACATTTTTGTTGATTTTGATTTCAAGTCAAGTAAGGTAAAAGTTTGTACTTCTGGCAAATCTCAGTGTATTACTTCCCTTGCTGACTTGAAGTTTGTAGATTTCTTAAGGAATGCTTTTTAATGATATGGTTATTTGTTATCAAGGCTTAATCTTTCTCTACTTGTTGTCTTGGTCACTCTGACTAGACTGGCATAAGACTTTCAAGCTTTATGAACTAATATTATTTGGATGTTCCTGCTATACTCCATTTAATAAAGCACAATTTCTGGAGAATGGGGAAGCACTGAAGTAGAAATATAGTTGAAATGAATGTAAATTTGATTGGGAATTTCAGTTATTGTTTATGGTGAGGTTCCTTTTTAGGACTTAGCATAAATTAGGTAATTTGTATAATGTTAAGATCTATTGCTACATGATAGAGGAAGAAAATGCATACCTTCTAGGAAACAGCAAAAAGTTATGTTTTATAATTCTTGTACTGTAATAGCTTTATTTTTCCTTCTAGGCTGCATGCAGGGTATGATTCCATATCTTCCTGAGCTGATCCCTCACCTTATTCAGTGCCTCTCTAACAAAAAGGCTCTTGTGCGCTCCATTACATGTTGGACTCTTAGTCGCTATGCACACTGGGTAGTTAGTCAACCCCCAGACACATACTTGAAGCCATTAATGACTGAGTTGCTAAAGCGTATTCTGGATACCAACAAGAGAGTACAAGAAGCTGCCTGCAGGTGAGCAAAAGCTTAAGCAAAAAGCATTATCCATGACACTGCTTTTTCATGGGAAACAAATGTAATGCTTTTATCAATGAATACATGACTGCATTTCTAGCTCTTAATGTGTTTTAGTTTTTTCCTTTTAAATTGGAGTAGGTTAGGCTTCTTCTGAAGAAGTCACAAATTACTTCGAGTTAAAATAAAATGTATTTCTTTTGTCCACTTTGTTTTTAGAATATATGAATCACCAAACTAAACAATCTCTTACAGTAAAAGAAATTATCTGTATGTGACAGCTGTTTATATTCAATATTTTAAGTTTCATTGACCAGAAATCTGGCTTTTATATGCCCTATGAACAAGGTCAATACTGATGATAAAAGGAAAACTGTCCTATCATTGCATTAGTGATGTTGTATATAATTAGCTCAGGATTACCAAAACATTTGGGTTGCAGTTATTTCAAGGGATATTCCCTTTCTCTTGAAAGGAGATCCTTGGAGGTAAGATTCCCTTCTCCCACTTGTTTGCTAATATTTAAAAAAAAAAGAATGGACACACCATTAATGAAATGGGTACACCTCTTGTGCAGGAAGTTCAGCAAATAAAGCTTTCATGTGTCATTTTGTGTGGGGCAGAAGTGTACACAGCAGACTGCCAAGGAAGTTTCCTTATAAAGCAGAATTAGATCTGTAACATGTATATATAACTGGTTTTACAGGAATAATTTAAAATTTTGCTTATCACAATATAAGAGCTGAATCTTTGTGTTCAATCAAAATAGATTGATTTTGTCTCAGTAACACCCTTTTGAAAACATACCTTGGATGAATTTGAGGTTTAAATACAGCACTGTGTTTAAACAGAAATGGGTAGTTTGGGGCATTTTGGGGTGGTCTTGTTTTGTTTTTTCCAAGATACTGACTGACCTGTTTGGGGTGGGGTTTTTGTCATTCAGTGCCTTTGCTACTCTAGAAGAGGAGGCTTGTACAGAGCTTGTTCCTTATCTTGCATATATACTTGACACTTTGGTCTTCGCATTTAGTAAATACCAGCATAAAAACCTGCTCATTCTTTATGATGCTATAGGAACTCTAGCAGATTCTGTAGGACATCATCTAAATAAACCAGTGAGTATACCTTATGCACTTGTCATATATTGAAAAACTGGGTAGGCGTTTTTTGTCATGTGCTTTATATGTTATAAAACAGAAATACTGACCTTTCTGTGTAGGCTTCAATAATAATTATTTACATGTAAAATACATGGACTGCATGTAATTTTCCAACTACCAAATATGTGGTGGCTTATGAAATGTGCTTCTCATTATTGTGGTTTTTTTTTTTTTCCTCATTCTCAGAATTTTTCAACTCAGAGGAGATACATATATCAATATAGATACGAAATGGGACTTTAAAGAAATTGGTGGAATGTGCGTGCTTATTTCTACTGACTATTTTTTTTTTTTTGTAACCACTTTCAGTATAGCTAAACTGCTCTGTGTGTCTTTCCAGTGTATTGGAGCACATCATTATTAGAAATTGCTTTATCAGAGAGTGTGACAGACATGTATTTTATATATAAAAACACAGAATCCTTTGGACAAAGCACAGATAACATGCAGGCAAATATAGTGGGTTTTTGTAGTGTACATAAGTTTTTTAATAGGATTTGTATGCATGCCATGTATATCTTAATGATGGCTATTTGTTGTAGTTTAACCCCAGCTGGGAACTTAGTACCACACAGCCACTCGCTAATTCCCACTCCCCCCCCCAATGGCATGGGGAGGAGAATCAGAAAAAAGGTAAAAACCCACAGGTTGAGATAAAAACAGTTTAATAACTGAAATAAAGTAAAATAATATAATAATAAAAGGAAATAGAGGGAGGAAGGAATAATACACCCCACCATCCCCCTCCACCTCCTAAAAAAAAGCCCATCCCTGAGCAGCGATTGGTCCCTTCGGGGTAATTCCCTCCAGTTTATATACTGGGCATGACGTGCTGTGGTATGGAATATCCCTTTGTCTAGTTTGGGTCAGGTGTCCTGTCTCTGCTTCCTACTTGCTTCCCGTGCCCTTCCTCACTGGCAGAGTATGAGAGACTGAAAAGTCCTCGATCAGGGTAATTACTACTTAGCAACAACTAAACCATTGGTGTGTTATCAGCACTGTTCTCAGACTAAAGCTGAAACGCAGCACTGCACCAGCTACTAAGAAGAAAAATAACTACCCCAGCCAAAACCAGGACAGTATTGAAATTTCTTTTATTTCTCTATAGTGTTTCACATGACATAGACACACTAAAATAAAACAATTTGTGTTGTTGCCATGAAATTTTACTTGCTTTCCAAGACTCCACACCATCAAATGACATTTTTCCCAATGTCTATCTGGCCCTGGCCAGATTCACATTTGATATCACCAGGAAGAGGCTAAATGGGAGCTCCTGGTGATGGTGGGACTTTCTTCAGTCACTTAGAATATTGTGTCTTTGGACATGGCATTAGCTGGCAGCATGTATTGGCTCTTTGGATACTTACTGGGAGCAACAGTACTACAGGGATGCTTTGCTTCATGTCCTTGTGACTGTGACAGCAGTGGAAAGATGCAACATCTTTATGCAGAATTGTTTAGTGCACCCTTCTGGAGGGACAGAAAATTACTTTCTTCATGGATAGGTAGTTGCTCCAGGAGGTTTCAGGAATTTTGGGGGGATAGGGTTGTAGCATCAGGGTAATGAGAGATGGTTGAGAAATGGCAGATGAACAGCCAGATTGCATTGCTGGCAAAAACATTTTCTGTAGGCCCTGAGGCAATCCTATAGATTTGTAACACCCCAGACAGCTATTAAATGTTGCTAGACTAAAGCTAAACCTGGAGGAAAAGATTCATTCTGTAAAGGTACTTATGTGACTCAGCAAAAAATCTTAAGACATAAATTGTAAAATCTAATACTTCTACATAATTTATTACTTCTACATATTGCAACAAGGATTAAATTACAATATATCAATTTTCTTTTGCTTAAAAAGTAGAACATATCAATTCTTAATATATCAATTTTCTAACTAGTATGCAATGGTGTGTTTCAGTAGCTGATGTATTTTCATCCTAAATAGGAATATATTCAGATGCTAATGCCTCCATTAATCCAGAAGTGGAACATATTGAAGGATGAAGATAAAGATCTCTTTCCTTTATTAGAGGTAAATATTAAAATTTTAATATACTTTATCAACTTCTTTTATGAATTACCCCTATTACTAAAGATGCTCCTCCTAGTAAGTATGACTATAAAACCTGACAGTGTTAGGTATCTCCCATTACAGAGTAAATATTATGACTGTAGTGAGAAAATCTTATGACTGAGAAAATGCCATCAGGTTTAGCAGACATATTTAGATGATTTTTTTTTTTTTTTTGCCATTCTTGAGTGTTTTCTTTGGTATTCTATGATTCTAAAAGAATTATTCAATCCCCCTGTGGTTCTTCTCTCTCTCCTTGTTCTCCCTTCATCCTTCCATTAAAACTGTTATCAGACAGTCTGAAGGTATGAACTATGTAGTCTATTGTCTTTACTTTCCAAGTGTGAAGCAGGAAAACACTTCTAGAGAAATTAGTTTCATAACTCTTGGGTAAAGTTAGGGCTTGTATGCGGTCAGGATACTGAAATTTAGTGTAAGTGCTAGCTGATTTATAGTAACTGTATGAACTTTTTTGGCCACCTCCAAGAAGATGTTGCTTCTAAGAAATTATCTTGACTGACATAAGTAGGAGTGAGTAACAATTAGCTGCCAGTTGCCTTGGGTCAGCTAATTGGTATTGCCTTTCCATGTTGTTTTTATTTACTTGTGGGTATAAGTAAAAGGTACTTTGGGGTGGTAGGGAAGGTTAGTGTGTCTCTTGCTCATTTTTTTTGTTTTTTTTTCTTCTTCTTTATTCCAGTGCCTGTCATCAGTTGCTACTGCCTTGCAGTCTGGCTTTCTTCCATACTGTGAACCTGTATACCAGCGTTGTGTAAATCTGGTGCAGAAGACTCTTGCACAAGCCATGGTATTTTTCTATTGCTATTCCAGTGTTTTCAGAATAACTCCTCAAACCAATGTATTAATTATGTAAATTATCGGTTTGAGGGAAAGTTTGTAGTATTAGCCACTGAATATTTAAATGAAGCTGCAGTTCTGAAACTAATTTTTTGTTTGGTTTATTTTTAATTTTATGCATACCCATGAGAAATACTAATTTTCAAAATGTGTACTTATTTGTTGCAGTTGCACAACGCTCAGCCAGACCAATATGAGGCTCCAGATAAAGATTTCATGATTGTGGCCCTTGATTTACTCAGTGGTTTAGCTGAAGGACTTGGAGGCAACATTGAACAGCTAGTGGCTTGCAGCAATATCCTGACATTAATGTACCAATGCATGCAGGTGAGATGAGCAACCGGTTTAACCCAAGGGTTTTCTTTCTTAAGGGAATTTGAAACACTTCTAGAATTGTCAGGTTTTTTTTCTTCCTCTCTTTAGGATAAAATGCCTGAGGTACGGCAGAGTTCTTTTGCATTGTTAGGTGATCTGACAAAGGCGTGTTTTCAGCATGTTAAGCCTTGCATCGGTATGTTTCTTTTACATATTAAATAATTAACACATTTTACAAACTGTTAAAGGGGATGGTTTAGCCATTGTTAAGTTCCCTTTTCTGTGGCATGCCTTCTCATGGTGTTATAAGGTTTCATTTTCCTGGGTCTGTAGTCTTTTCTCCTTTGAACTGTGTGTTTAAGACATTGCTCTTTTTGTAGACAGTGCAAGAGTTCATTTTGCTACTTGATTTTTATAATGTAACATGCTTTCTATTGTACAGGAATACAGCAAAATATGTACTTCAACTTCATTTAGAACAATTGTTTTCTTTGGTAAATAACTTTTTTCTTTTAAAAAAAACATCAGCTTTAAATAGTTGGGTTTTTTGTTCTACTAGAATCTTTTGTTACATATAATTTATGTATATTGAAATTAGAAAACCTGGTTAGATGGTAGGTTTGGTGTTTTTTCGTGTTTTCTTTTTAATTTCAGTAGGGAAGTAGCATCAATTATACACTTCAGTATTCACTTTCTCTTCCCTCAGATACTCTCAAGATGCACTTAACTTCACAAATGAATGTCTGGACAGGCTTAGATTTTAAAATTTATTTAGCAGATGTTATAATCTATCTTTGTGACTAATATTTTATTAAAATTTATTCAAGGCTATGATTTGCTTTCTAGGATTCAATGTTGTTTGCCACTGTTTTTATTTTGGGGGGGGTGGAGGATGGGGTGTTGTGTTGGGGGGGTTGTTGTTTGGGGGGGGTGTTTGGGGTTTTTTGATTGGTTTAGGTTTTTTTTCTTAGCACAGTTGAATACATAGCTATCCAGATGTGGGTTTTTTTTCTTCCCCCACCCCCAGGAAGGGGAGGAAAAAAAGGCTTCTAGTGTTACATAAAGCTTATTAGAAATATTTTTAAATCATAGTTTGAAAAGATTTGCATTGAACTGCTTAGGTTGTAAAATTTAGGTTAATCTGATATGTAGCAGAAATAGAACTCTTGTTAATTCTGGTGTAATGCTTCAGAAGAGTTTAAATATGCTTATGTGATTTTTTTTAAACACACGCACCCCTCCCCTGTGATCTTACAGTAATGGGACAAGTTTGTTGTATCGTGTGATGAGATTTTAAAATGTTGTTCTTTCTAGCTGATTTCATGCCCATTTTGGGAACCAACCTAAACCCGGAATTCATTTCTGTGTGTAACAATGCCACCTGGGCAATTGGAGAAATCTCCATCCAGATGGGTAAGATTTTTAACTTTTTTTTTTTCTTTGAATCTTTGCAAATTTAGAATGGTGTGTCTGGGTTGTGTTTTTTTATTTTTTAGTGATACTTACACATTTAAATTTAAATTAAATTTTATATTCTTGTCCTTGGCAGTAAATTCAATGTACCAGATCTAAATAGATCATGTATATTAACAGTAATTTTCTTCTGAACATTTCTTTTTGGCTGTTTCAGGTATAGAGATGCAGCCTTATATTCCAATGGTGTTGCACCAGCTTGTAGAAATAATTAACAGACCCAACACACCAAAGACATTATTAGAGAACACAGGTACCCAAAAACTGAAGCATTCATGGTGAAGGGAATTAGAGGGCTGGTTTGTTTTTGATAATGATTTTTAAAATTGCATAGAACTTATTTTATTGCTATGTATTTGGCTTTTATAAGCAAAGCTAAAACTTTTGCAGATCTTACAAGTCTCAGTCTTGCAACAATACATCTATCATATATCTAGATTATTGAAGTTATTGCTTTCTCACCTTTATTCCATTTTATATTTATCATCTATTTAAATAGTCCTCAATTTTATTTATGTATATGACAAATGTATGCAGTGACACTTAAAGACTTAGTGACTTTACACTGATTTTAATATATGCATGTCCTTACACGTGTATTGCATGTATATGTCTAGTGTTTGAAACAAATGTAATTGGCATATATAAAACAAATAATAAACTCAAATCATGAATTTACAAAAAATGCACTTTTTAAAGATTAATTTGTAGTAATATGCGCAAAAATCTAGATCTGTGATGGCAGTTTAACCACAACATAACTGCAATTATGTATAACTTCTACTATCTGGTCACTTAATAAAAAAATTCTGAAGTTTAACTGGCATGCTTATTTTTATGTTCTGGCCAGCAGCTTTGCCTTCCAAAATCTCAATTTAGAAGCATCCCCCAAATGTTTTATTGAATCAGAATTTCTGAGGCTTGTTTCTTTTGTGTTTATAGGGGGCGTGTTCTGGTATGAAGATCACCTTCCTTACTTCATCAAAACTTTATTAATAATTTAACAGGTTTCTGGTTAGCTATTTTACCATTTGAGAATCTTTTGACTTTTTTCAATTTGAAAACTATTTTGTAAGAAAAATGATAGTTTGGTAATTATGCTTGACATAATTGAAAATTACGTAAATTCAGTGTTAGTTACTTTTTCTTTTCTCTAAGTATGAGATAAATTGGAGAGAGATTTTTTCCATGCATATTTATCCTCCAGTATTCTCTACATACCAACCCCGTCATTTAGTATGGAAGGTGAACTTGAAGGAAAAATTGCCTAGTTATCTGGCATATTATCGGTACTGCTTTTTTTAAAGATTATTTTTGAGCAAATAATTGATTGTTACGCTATGGAATAGTATAGTAATATAAATACTCTTTCTCCCTGTCCCAACCCCCATCATCTGTACTGATGGATGTATAATACCTATAATTGAGAAGTATCTAGTACTTAAAAGTTTGCCTCCATCACTGCTAGAGAATTTTTTTAAGCATCCAAACACTGACTTTTTTTTTTTTTAAGCATCTTAATAGTTACTTTAAATGTGGATGCCTAACTGCAGATAAATGTTGAGTGTGGTGTACTTATTATAAGTTTGTTGTGGGATATTGTGCTGCATACATGCCACTGGTATGTGCAAGAGTATTACTGTTTTCTACTTTAGGCTGTTATGTAATGAACTATGAAAACACTTCTATGGAAACATACAAAGACCACCTTAAGTAAAAGTAGTTGCATAGAAAATAATGAGTACATGACAAAAAGTTAAGCTTTGACAGAAATTACTATTCCTTGTACAGACCTGTGAGAACTTGCAGATAAACCTTAAAAGTATATTTTCATTTGAAAGTGCCACTTCAAATGCAGTTTTATAAGTTAGATCTGCCAAAAATTTAAGACACTGAATATTGAAATTTCATAATGTCCGGGCAAAATAGTACATTACCAGTGAGCCACAGCTGTCATGGAATGAGTACATTTCAAACTGCTAGTATATCCTACACTAAACTTTTATTGGAGAAAGCATCACCTGTTTTATTGCATGTTTCATGAAGCTATTCACAAATGCCTGTTAATTAGTGTTGCGTAGTATGTCCCTTGAACACAGGTTTCCTTTCTTTGCTTCATATAAATCTGCTGGATTTTAGTGTTATTCGTGCATTTTGCTTCAAGTAATCCTGATACATTATTCCTACCTTCTCCTTTTTCTAAAGATTAATCTTTCATGAGTTGAGCAAGCACCATTAAAACATGTTTGCATGATGATATTTTATTCAGTCTCCCTTAGAACAAAAGACAACACTACCTAATCATGCAAAGAAGCAGTTTTGTTTGTCATATGTCCTTATGCTTTTGTATAAAAAGTAAGATTCTTATACAACTTTCATGAGGAAGCTTTTTCTGAGCAGGAGAAATATTGGGATTAAAGAATTAATTTTCTGCAGTCGGTTGCTGTGAGTTAGTGACCACTTAAAATTCTCTACAAGATTATGAAGAAAACAAATATTTGGTGCTCTTAGAGAAGTGTTTAATCTACTTATAGTTTATTAGATAGACCACAATATATTCAATGTAAAAGTATGTATAAATGTATTTTTACTGATAGATAGTAAGCCTATTAAAATCTTCATTTCAAAGTACTAGAAAAAGCAGAATGCTTAGGACTACTTAATACTAAAACTGAAAATGCGTAATTCCTTTCTGTCAAGAGTATCCATAATAGTACTTTTTATTAAAAATTTTGAAGTGTATGGTAGGTAAATTTACTGTAAGAAATGATTCTGAAGATGGCAGAGTGACTGCTTACATCAGAAAGCCTTTGGATTTTAAATGGTGGATTTTGGTGTTATCTATCTCATTTTCTTCTTTAATTTCTCTTTTACCCTGGAGAGTATACCATGTACATTGCTGCCTCTAATTTAGGGGGTAGTAATAAACAGCACTGGTGAAATCTTATGTTTACTATCATGCACAGATTCTGTTGGCTTCTGTTTCTGAGTTATTTGCTGTTTTTTCTTTATTTTTTTCTCCTCCCCCCTCATTTGCTCATGTCTTGGTTGGCGTTTGGTGGTGTATAACCGTGATTGCATTACCTTAGCAATAACAATTGGTCGTCTTGGTTACGTTTGTCCTCAAGAGGTGGCCCCCATGCTACAGCAGTTTATAAGACCCTGGTGTGTATTATTAAATCTTTATTTTTTAATTCATTTTTCTTCACTTTCTTTCTTCTGTCTCACTTTTAGATATATTTTCGGTTGGTTACAAAATCTCAATCCTTAATCATTGCCAACCATGTGACTAATCTTGTCCTATCAGGTTTGTGAGTTTTTAGTAGCAATGTCATATATTCTTTATGTTGTGGCTAACAACTAATTTATGCATGGGATAAGATTGTCACATGCTTGCGTGTTAAAGCTTGACTACAAAAGAGCATTTTAAAATCCACCAGAATGATAATACAATGCATGCAAATACTGTAAAATTTAAACTGTGTATTACTTCAGTCTGAGGCTTGAATTGCTGTAAGGAATATGTTTCTAGACTTGCTATGTATAAAGTAGCTTGCTTGCTGCTGTAAAAGTTAAATAACTGTTCCATAAGTGATATCTGACATAATTCACACTGTGATAGCATTATATGTTCTGCTTTTAATAATGGTAGTTTCTATAAATATTTCATATACATGTTTCTTTTGTGTTTAATGGAATACAGGTCACACTTTCTAACTGTATATAGCGCAACAGGAAAGCAAGATTCTAGAGATGATACCTAATGGGAATATGCTAGTAAAGACTGTGCATCGAGTATCTTTCTGAGTGTTCAAAATAGTATTTCAGATAACCTTATCAGTGTGACTTATTCCATCAAATACTGTCATCTAGTTCTGACTTGATAGAATGAAAAAGTAATAGAATTAGCTAAGTTTTGCTCTCCAATGTACTAGGTGCACCTCTCTGCGAAACATAAGAGACAATGAGGAAAAGGATTCAGCATTCCGTGGGATATGTACCATGATCTCGGTCAACCCCAGTGGAGTAGTCCAAGTAAGATAAATAAATATGTCTTAACTTTTTTTCTTTCTTCATGTAAAATTTAGTGAAAGCTGTATATGGAGTACAAAAAAGTTTAACTTGATGTTGTTTCCTTGTAGTACATGCTGTAGCTGCTTTTTTGATGTCAAGGATGCCAATGTGTTTATATTTTATATTATACATATCATGATACTTCAGGATTTCTGCTTCAGTGATTATCACTTATGGAAAGGACAGTATTGTTAAATTCATTTTTTGTCTTTTACTTACAAAGAATATATAAACAATGGACTTTGACTGTATTTTGATACTTCTGTCAGTCTTTTCTATGTTGAGGATATGTATGAAAATACAAGGCAAAAGTTGACATACTAAAACCTACTTTTCAGGTGCAATCTAGGCTTTTAAAAAAAGAAACAGAACACAAGCAATAACCACCCCTTCATTCTTAAAACTTAGGTAGGGAAGATTTTGTTTCAACTTTGGATGTATTGCCTAGTCAATACAACAAGGAAGCCGCATCTCTTTAAAAGAAATGGTACATCTCAGGAACAGCGTATGAGTCTCTGCAGCTCCAAAATAACGCTATGCCAATGTAATATTTTCTAAGAGGGAAATGAAGGTGTATTTCCCTCTCCTCTGCCTGGGATCCTTCTTCCCGAAACACAAGAATTGATCCTCTATCATCTTTTGAATTTTTCAGTTCATTTCACTTATCCCTTATTTTGTACTTAGCATTTCCCTCTTTTGCTGTCCATTTGTTCTTTCACACAGCTTAAAGGGAGAGAGTAATTAAGGATTGTCATCATAATCCCAGCTCCTATGGTAGTTGTCCTCTTCACTTCCTATCCAAAAACATGTGCATTATCAACTTAATCATTAAGACTGATGTTTTAATGGTATAGTAGGAGGTAATGCATGATGACAGATGAAATAAACATAGGGATTTTGGGGTGGCTTTAGTTTTGAACCTGTATGGTAAACACTATGTGTATCCCAGAAACAACTTCTGGCTCTGCAGAAAGAAATACAACACTGGAAATGCATGAGAGTGAGTTGCGAGTGTGGTCTTGCACTTGTCAATTGTTATTAAGATGATTCTCAAACTCAGTATGTGTACCGAAAGAATTAAGGCAAGTGTGGTGTGGGAGGGGAGGAGGTGTTTGTTCGATATGGGGTTTTTCTGAACTGTGTTTTTATTTAATCAAAAACCTGATTAAACAAAGCTAATCCTACACTCAGCTATTTCTATTTCCATACACTTAAGTGTACAATAAATCACCATTATTGTCTGAATTAATTGCAAAATAAAGGCATAAAACCAAAAGCAGTTTTGAATTAGGATCAAATACCCTGCATAGTTCATAGAACAAACATCAAGCAATGTTTTCAGACCTATAAATTGAGGTTTCTAACCTATATGATTGTTTAATCTTTTAGGACTTTATTTTTTTTTGTGATGCTGTTGCATCATGGATTAGCCCAAAAGATGATCTCCGAGACATGTTCTGTAAGGTAATGTTTCTAGTATGACAGTATATCTGAACTACAATTGTTTTGGATCCTGTTTCTTTGTCACTTTCTATTTCCACTATTAGCACTTACTGTAATTGTGGTCATGAAGGCTTTCTTGCAAAGTCATAAATTTTCAGACAAAGCTTCATAAAAAATCTGAATTTTTACCTATATTTTTTTACGTGCTTTCAGGTTATTCCAAAATTGTTTTCAACAGTGTTGAAAAGCTTGCTTGAGATCTTATTTGAAAGGATAATCATCCTCAAAGATCTTTTCATGTCTTGCTTACTGTGTTTTGACTGCATTTGGAAGAACAGGGGGGGGTTTATGCTTCCTTTTTTTTTTTTTTGAGAAACATCTAGAAAATTGCAAATCATAGAATCATAGAATAGTTAGGGTTGGAAAGGACCTTAGGATCATCTAGTTCTAACCCCCCTGCCATGGGCAGGGATGCCTCACACTAGACCATGTTGCCCAAGGCCCTGTCCAGCCTGGCCTTGAACACTGCCAGGGATGGAGCATTCACAACTTCTTCCAGTGCTATCCTGATCTGTTTATCTTGCTTCAGCTGAAAATAAGATTTTTGGGGATTGCTTAACCCTCCTCAGAATCCCTCTTGGAGAAGCAAGTCTTCAAGAAACTAACGTACAGTGATAGCAAAGAATACATCCCTAGACAAACTCAATAGAATTTAAGCAAAAAGACTGTTTCCCTTGCATAAAATAAACAAAAAAAAAAACCCTAAACACTCAAAATAATATGTTGTTTTCACACTACTGTCTTAGGTTAAAAAAGAGAAAAAATTAAATTTATTTCAGTTTCATGAGCAAATGCTGTTACTGTTCAGTAGCGTGGCTCCCATGATATGTCATAAAATGAAATATCTGTTTAGGAAGGATGCATGTCAAAAGTTAATAAATCATAGAATACCAGGATTGATGGGACCTCAAGAATCATCTGGTCCATCCTTTAACCCTAAACACCCTCTTAAAGCTAAAACAGAGCCTATTTCTAAGTACGACTCATGGGTCAGTATTAGCACTTTCTCCTCATTTCCAAGTGTTCATATCAGAAAAGAAGACAGAAATTTGAATCCCATCTTGAGTAGAAAACACAAAAATCTCACTATCCTAGTTAGGGGACTAGTTATCTGCAAAGCTTCAAAGGAACATCAGGAACAGGAAAGGCATAGCTGTGAGTATTCTCATACTCTGCATCAGCAGAAGGAAACAGGAAATAGGAGCTTAAAAGAAATTCCAGGGTACTGGCTGTGGTGATTATCCAAAGAAGTTTCAGTACATCAAAGAATCACGGAATCAGTAGTGTTGGAAGGGACCTCTGGAGATCATCTAGTCCAACCCCCCTGCCAAGGAAGGGACACATAGACCAGGTTACACAGGAACATGTGTGGATGGGTTTTGAATGTCTTCATAGAGGGAGACTCCAGAATCCCCTAGGCAGCCTGTTCCAGTGCTCTGCCACCCTCAACGTAAAGAAGTTCTTCCTCATGTTGAGGTGAAACTTCTTGTGTTTTACTTTATGGCCATTGCTCCTTGTCCTGTCACTGGACACCACTGAAAAGAGTATGGCACCATCCTCCTGGCACCCACCTCTGAGATATTTATATGCATTAATGAGATCCCCTCTCTGTCTGCTCTTCACTAGACTAAGCAGGCCCAGATCCTGCACTTTCACACAGTATGCTAGAGATTGGAAGGGACCTCAAAAGATCATCTAGTCCAATCCCCCTGCCGGAGCAGGAACACCTAGATAATGTTACACAGGAATGTGTTCAGGCCAGTTTTGAATGTCTCCAGGGAAGGAGACTCCACAACCTCCCTGGGCAGCCTGTTCCAGTGTTCTGTCACCCTCACTGAGAAGAAGTTTCTTCTCAAGTTTAAGTGGAACCTCTTGTGTTCCAGTTTGTACCCATTACCCCTTGTCCTATCATTGTTTGCCACTGAGTAGAGTCTGGCTCCATCCTCGTGACACTCCCCCTTTATATATTTATAGACACTTATAAGGTCACCCCTCAGTCTCCTCTTCTCTAAACTAGAGACCCAGCTCCCTCAGTCTTTCCTCATAAGGGAGATGCTCCACTCCCTTAATCATCTTAGTTGCCCTGCACTGGACTCTCTCCAGCAGGTCCCTGCCCTTCTTGAACTGAGGGGCCCAGAACTGGACACAATATTCCAGATGCTGTCTCACCAAGGCGGAATAGAGGGGAAGGAGGACCTCTCTCGACCTACTAACCACCCCCCTTCTAATACACCCCAGGATGCCATTGGCCTTCTTGGCCACAAGGGCACAGTGTTGGCTCATGATCATCCGGTCATCCACTAGGACCCCCAGGTCCCTCTCCCCTACACTGCTCTCTAACAGGTCGTTCCCCAACCTATACTGGAACCTGGGGTTGTTCCTGCCCAGATACAGGACTCTACACTTTCCCTTGTTATATTTCATCAAGTTATTCCCTGCCCAACTCTCCAGCCTGTCCAGGTCTCACTGGATGGCAGCACAGCCTTCCGGCGTGTCAGCCACTCCTCCCAGCTTAGTGTCATCAGCAAACTTGCTGATAGTATACCCAGTTCCCTCATCTAAATCGTTGATGAATATATTAAATAAAGCACTGACCCTTGAGGCACTCCACTAGTTACAGGCCTCCAACTAGACTCCGCCCCATAGACTACAACTCTCTGGCTTCTCTCCTTCAGCCAGTTCACAGTCCACCTCACTACCTGATCATCCAGACCACACTTCCTCAATTTAGCTGTGAGGATGCTGTGGGAGACTGTGTCAAATGCTTTGCTGAAGTCAAGGTAGACCACATCCACCGCTCTGCCATCATCCATCCACCGTGTTATTTCCTCATAAAAGGCTAAGAGATTGGTCAAGCATGATTTCCCCCTGGTGAAGCCATGTTGACTGCCCCTCATAACCCTCTTATCCTTGATATGCCTTAAGATGGCACCAAGGATAAGGTGTTCCATCACTTTCCCAGGGACAGAGGTGAGGCTGACTGGTCTATAGTTACCCGGGTCCTCCTTCTTGCCCTTTTTAAAGACTGGAGTGACATTTGCTTTCCTCCAGTCCTCAGGCACCTCTCCCGTTTCCCAAGACTTGGTAAAGATGATGGAGAGTGGTCTAGCAATGACTTCCGCCAGTTCCCTCAGCACCTGCGGGTGCATCCCATCTGGACCCATGGATTTATGGATGTCCAGATTGCTCAACTGGTCTCTAAACCATTCCTCATCGACTAAGGCAAACCGCTCCGTTGACCTGACTTCATCTAAGGTCTCAGGGGTGCAGGGCTCTTCAGGACTGCCTGCAGCAGAGTAGACAGAGACAAAGAAGGCATTCAGTAACTCTGCCATCTCTGTATCTTCTGTCACCAGGGCACCCATCCCGTTCATCAGTGGGCCTACATTGCCTCTGGTGTTAGTTTTATCTGCCATGTATTTGAAAAAGCTCTTTTTGCTGTCCTTGACCCTTCTCGCCAGATTTAATTCTAAGGAGGCCTTAGTCATCCTAGCTGCCTTCCTACATCTTCTAGCAGCAGCCTTATATTCCTCCCAAGTGGCCAGCCCCTCCTTCCATGACCTGTAAACTCTCCTCTTCCACTTGAGCATACCCAGCAATTCCCTATTTAGCCACGCAGGTCTCCTGGCCCTCTTCCTTGACTTCCTACGTGCCGGGATGCTCTGATCTTGTGCTCGGAAAAAGCAATCCTTGAATGCCAACCAACTATCTTGGGCCCCTTTACCTTCAAACAGCCTTGCCCATGGGATTTCCCCTAGCAATTGCTTGAAAAGGCCAAAGTTTGCCCTGCTAAAGTCCAGGGTTGCAATTCTACTTGCTATTCTACTGGTCCTACCACACAAGATCCTGAATTCCACCATCTCGTGGTCGCAGCAACCAAGGCAGCCCTCAACCCTTACTGCTTCGACCAGACCCTCCTTGTTAGTGAGGATGAGATCCAGCAGCGCTCCTCTGGTTGGCTCATCCACCATTTGCAGGAGGAAGTTATCATCCATACACTGGAGGAACCTCCTGGACTGTGGCTGGGTTGCTGAGTGGTCCTTCCAGCAAACATCAGGGAAGTTAAAATTCCCCATGACGACCACGGCTTGTGACTGTGAGGCCGCTCTCAGCTGCCTGTAGAAGGCCTCGTCAACTTCCTCACCCTGATCTGGTGGCCTGTAACAGACACCCACAACAGTATCACCCCTGCCAGCCTGCCCCTTAATTCTCACCCACAGACTCAACTTGCTCGTCATCTGTCCCTGGACAGAACTCGGTGCATTGTAGCTGCTCTCGCACATAAAGAACAACCCCACCACCCTGCCTGGCTGGCCTGTCTTTCCTGAAAAGGACATAGCCCTCCATGACTATATTCCAGTCATGTGAGCTGTCCCACCACGTCTCTGTAATTGCCACCAGATCATAATGTCTTTCTTGTACTGAGGAGCCCAGAACTGAACACAGTAATCCAGATGTGGCCTCACCAGGGTCAAGTAGAGGGGGGCAGATCACCTCCCTCGACCTGCTGGCAACACTCCTCCCAATGCACGCCAGGATACTCTTGGCCTTCCTGGACTGGAGCATCTCCCGTATGAGGATAGGCTGAGAAAGTTGGGGCTGTTGAGCCTGGAGAAGAGAAGGCTGTGTGGAGACCTCATAGCAGCCTTCCAGTATCTGAAGGGGGCCTACAAGGATGCTGGGGAGGGACTCTTCACTAGGAACTGTAGTGACAGGACAAGCGGTAACGGGTTCAAACTCAAACAGGGGAAGTTTAGATTGGATGTGAGGAAGAAATTCTTTACTGTTAGGGTGGTGAGGCACTGGAATGGATTGTCCAGGGAGGCTGTGAATGCTCCATCCCTGGCAGTGTTCAAGGCCAGGTTGGGCAAAGCCTTGGGTGGCATGGTTTAGTGTGAGGTGTCCCTGCCCATGGCAGGGGGGTTGGAACTAGATGATCTTAAGTTCCTTTCCAACCCTAACTGTTCTATGATTCTGTATTGTAACCAGAGTAGAGTAGATCTTTGCAATCTGGACACTACATCTTGCTTGTGTAGGATGTACTATGGAGCACTTCGGTACTAAGTGAAGTAATACAGCTTGCTCTTCTAAATGCTTCAGGTTTGCTTGCTTTTCATTTTATTAAAATCCTTTAAACACTTAAGTCATTTTCACAGAATCACAGAATACTTAGGGGTGGAAGGGAACTCTGGAGATCAACTATCCAATCCTTCTGCCAAGGCAGGGACACCTAGACCAGGTTACACAGGAACATGTCCAGGTGGTTTTGGAATGTCTCCAGAGAGGGGGACTCCACAACCTCCCTGGGCAGCCTGTTGCAGTGCTCTGCCACCCTCAACATAAAAATGTTCTTCCTCATGTTGAGGTGAAACTTCTATGTTTTATTTAATGGCCATTGCTCCTCATCCTGTCGCTGGGCACCACTGAAAAAGAGTATGGCACCAGCCTTCTGGCACCCACCTTTGAGATATTTATATGCATTAATGAGATCCCCTCTCTTCTCTAGGCTAAACCAGGCCCAGCTCCTGCAGTCTCTCCTGCTGGCCACACTCCTCCTGATGCACCCCAGGATACTCTTGGCCCTCCTGGCCAAAAGGGCACACTGCCAGCTCATAGTCAACTTCTCTACCAACACTCCCAGGTTCTTCTCAGCTGAACTGCTCTCTGCTAGGTCAGCCCCCAACCTGTACTGGTACTTGGTGTCCTTCCTCCCCAGGTGTAGTACCCTACATTTGCCCTTCTTGAACCTCATGAGGTTTCTCTCCACCCAATTCTCCAGCCTATCAAGGTCCCACTGAATGGTAGCACAGCCTTCAGGTGTATCAGCCACTCCCCCCAGCTTTGTATCATCAGCCAACTTGCTGAGTATACGCTCTAGCCCTTCATCCAGGTCATTGATAAACAAGTTAAATAAGACTGGACCCAGTATTGATCCCTGGGGAACACCACTGACTAAAGGCCAATGACTACTCCACTGATCACAACCCTCCGAAGTGTGCCATTCAGCCAGTTTTCAATCCACCCCACTGTCCATTCATCTAACCCACATTTACTAACTTTACCTACAAGAATGTTATGGGAGACAGTGTCAAAAGCCTTGATGAAGTCAAGGTAGATAACATCCACTGCTCTCCCCTTGTCAACCCATCCTGCCATGTCATCATAAAAGGCTATTAGATTGGTCAAGCAAGATTTACCCTTGGTGAATTCATTATGACTATGATGTCATGAAAGGCATATGCAGGGACTAGGAGAGTGAAGGCCTTAATCCCATTGTAGGAGAGGATCAGGTTCAAGGTCATCCAAGGAACCTGAATGTGCACAAGTCCATGGGACCAGATGAAATTCATCCGTGTGTCCTGAGGGAGCTGGCAGGTGAAGTTGCTAAGCACTGTTCATCATATTTGAAAAATCATGGTAGTGAGGGGAAGTTCCCAGCGACTGGGAAAAGGGAAAGTTGAAGCCCTGGGGAACTATACACCAGTCAGTCTCACCTCTGTGCCTGGCAAAATCTTGGAGTAGATTCTCCTGGAAACCATGCACACAAAAAACAACGAGGTGGTTGGTGGCAGCCAACATGTCTTCACTAAGGGCAAATCATGCCTGACCAATTTGGTGGCCTTCTATGATGGGGCTACAGGACAGACGGATAGGGGCAGAGCAACTGACGTCTACCTGGACTTGTGCAAACAGTTTGGCACTGTTCTGCATGACATCCTTGTCTCTAAACAAGGTGGGCCAATGCCAACATCATGAAGTTCAACAATGTGAAGTGCAAGTTCCTACACCTGGGTCGAGGCATTCCCAGGCACAGCTACAGGTTGGGTGGAGAAGGACTTGGGGGTGGTAGTTGATGAGAAACTGAACATGAGCTGGCTTCAGTGTGCACTCCCAGCCCAGAAACCAACCGTATACTGGGCTGCATCAAAAGAAGCATGACCAGCAGGTCAAAGGAAGTGATCCCGCCCCTCTACTCTGCTCTTGTGAGACCCCATGGAACAGTTGGAACAAGTCCAGAGGAGGCCCCGAGGATGATCAGGGGCCTTGAGCACCTCCTATACAAAGACAGGCTGAGAAAATTGGGACTGTGCAGCCTGGAGAAGGCTGCATGGTAACCTCATAGCAGCCTTCCAATATCTGTAGTGGGCCTACATGGGTGTTGGAGAGGGACTCTTCATTAGGAACTGCAGTGATAAGACTAGGGGCAGTGGGTTCAAAGTGAAACAGGGGGGATTTATGTTGGTTATAAGGAAGAATTTCTTTACTGTCAGGGTGGTGAGACGCTGGCACAGGTTGCACAGAGAAGCTGTGGCTGCCCCATGCCTGGAAGTGTTCAAGGCCAGGTTGGACAGGGCCTTGAGCAACCTGGTCTAGTGGGAGGTGTCCCTGCCCATGGCAGGGGGGTTTGAACTAGATGATCTTAAGGTCCTTTCCAACTCAAACCATTCTGCAATTCTATGATTCTGTTTTTCTCTCCTGGTCCTTCAGCATTCAGTACATGCTTTAATAATCCATGCTCCTCGTTTTTAGATTCTTTCCAGGATATCCATGTGGGATCTAATACATTCAAACTAAACACAGTATTTCTTGGTCACATGGCATAAAGACAGACTTTCTTTTTATACTGTATTCTTCTGTACTTTTTGCCATGCAAGGAAGGAGACAAAGCTTTCTTCCAGCAATGGCATGGAAATTTTTTAGATTACTTCCTCGTTAGAGTGACTTTATATGCTAGCTGAATACATGATTACCTTAGTTAAGCTACATGTTTTTCCAACACTGGAGCTGAGAGTGAAAATGCCCCTTCCAAGAGCACAGGTAGATGACCTGCCAGTGTTGACAGCTGATACATATCCTATGAATTGCATCACATTTTATGAAAGCAAAACATCTGAAGACTCTAGCTGAAGCTCACTTGCTAAAGCTGCACTGGAAGATGATTTTTAAAAAGTGGTCCTTTTGTTGTACCTGAATATATCTGAAGAGGGCCTACAAGGATGCCAGAGAGGAACTCTTTGTCAGAGACTGTAGTGGTAGGACAAGGGATAATGGTTTTAAACTTAAACAGGGGAACTTCAGGTTAGATATAAGGAAGTTGTTCTTTACTGTGAGGGCAGTGAGGCACTGGAAAAGGTTGCCCAGAGAAGCTGTGAATGCTCCACCCCTGGCAGTGTTCAAGGCCAGGTTGGACAGGGCCTTGAGCAGCCTGGTCTAGTGTGAGGCATCCCTGTTCATGGCAGGAGGGATGGAACTAGATGATCTTAAGGTCCTTTCCACCCCTAACCATTCTGTGTTTCTATGATCCTTAGATTTTTTTCAGTCATTTCTTTCTTCTCTTCCCCTTTTATGCTGGCTTTTGACTACTGTGTTTAAAAGAACAGATAAGTGTTCTTTTGAAGCATAAAAGATTTTAATAGTTTCCTTTTTACTAATAGGTGTCTACAGGTTCCATGGAAAAAACACAGCTCTCACAGTATGCTTTTGTATTTGCTAGAAATTGACAGACATTCGGTCTGTCAAATATTGGTGGTGGCATACATATGCACATATGTATATTTTTATATATGTATAATATATCTATTTATATATTTTATACTAATTTGAGTGTGTAGCTATATTCTGAATGTCACCCTTAACTGAAATGTTTGGGTTTGTTTTATTTTCCTTTAAGACAGACATTACTAGACTTCATTTGTTTCTTAGTAACTTTTAAAATATGAAGCTGGGGAATTCAAATGGACAGATGCACAATCCAGCAGTTTGTGGGTTACTGCATATGTTGCTTGAAATAATGATCGTGATTCTACTACTTAATTATTATTTTGACTTCTGCCCCCCTCCCCCCATTTGTAGATTCTTCATGGATTTAAAAACCAAGTTGGAGATGACAATTGGAGGCGTTTCTCTGACCAGTTTCCTCTTCCCTTAAAAGAGCGCCTTGCAGCTTACTATGGAGTTTAACCTTATGTGCTGTAGCTGCAGGCCCATAATTAGAGGTAACCACACAAATCTGCCTTGCTAAGGGGGGGTGAGAGATTCATAGTAGTATATCAAGGTAAGATTGGAAGTGTAGGTGTAACAAAGTGCCTGTTTATGTTTAATGAGCAAAATTATGATTATAATCCTCAAGCTATCATACTGAAGTCACAGGCTCCCCTATGTCTTATGAATTAGTAGATGATGGATATGGTCTAAGCAGGAATATTTCCCTAGAATAGGAAAGCAAATTTAAGACGCTAGCCATGAGGAGTCAGATACATTCCTAGCCACATACGAGATGATATTTGCATTGAATAAAGGATGTTATGCTAATCTGTAACTCTACTGACTGTAGAGCTTGATGTTTTGGGGAGGCTGATGTGTTTATTATTGCCACATTCCAATTTATTCACCAATTTAGTATTGTTACAGTTCTGTGTGGAGAATGATTCAACTTCAGCAAAGAATTGTGATTGTATATTCTAGAATACTTGTATTCTTATACCACCTTGCTTTGTGTGCTGTTTGTGCACACTGTATAAAAGCAAAGTTCCCTCTGGTAAAGTAGTGTGATACTGTGAAGAGATTATTATACTACTCCAAAAAGAGGGCAAATTAAGTTTATTCATTCAATCTTTATATAAATTTGATACTTCCTCTAGAATTTTTGTACTGAAATTATGAATGTGAATCATGCAGTTCTGTTTTATTGTTGAATGGACAAGAGTCAGCCAAAGTTTTGTCAGTCAGTGACATAAGAGAATTGCATTTTTGATCTGAATAATGGATTACAATTAAACCAATTTCAAACATTTACGTGCTGATAAATGAGGGCATTTTAATTCTGAAATAAGTGGTGTTTTTCATCCTAATGAAGAGGAATCTGAAGTGGTAAAACTGCCATTTATCCTCAGTTTGTACTGAGGAGATACTATGACTATCTTGTTTAATCCACCTGAAAGCGAAATTGTTTGGTCAGTAGAAGGTATGTTAATATTTTTTCTCAATGTCATAACTACCTTATAATCTTGTACTAAACCTGGAAAAGCTTGTTAGAATATATAGGACTGCTTTTTCCTTAAATCTAAGTTTAGCCACATAGTGGAATTGTCAGTGTAGCCTTAAAGTATACAGTGCTGTCTCATGAATAATAATTTATCTGGTATAAATGGGGTCTTTTCTTAAACAGTCTAAAAAGGTAAAATCTAGTCATAGATTCATTTTTAAGTTAAAAGTTTTCACCTACTGCTTAAAAGAAGACAAAACAAGCTCTTTGTTTATGCACTGATCTGTCAGTTAAGGTTCATGGTTAGATTTAACTATACCTCTATCTTTTCTTTTATAGGTCCTTCAGTCTGGGAGACTATGAGGGAGTCTCTGCACCCAGGGAAAATGTTACCCTTTACTGGGGGGAAGGGTAAACCAGTAGGGAATAGAGTACAATCCCAACCCTACTGGGTGGGGTGGGAGGGAAGTGTTGCTGTCACTGTATTAAGTTGATGTTGGGAAATGTTTTAACATCTGGAGCCTTTGTGGGTGGATATCTGTTTCCTATTACAACTCTGCATTGGATGTGAGGAAGAAGGAAAAAAAAATAAATCTATTAACAAAACAGCACATTCTGGACTATTGTGGAGAATTGTACCAAAATAAGAACCATATAATTGAACCATAGGGATATATAAAGAGGAAAACTATTTTGCACACAATAAATGAAACCTAAGAATGGGGGTCACAAACAGTAAAAGGCTTTCTTTTTTATGTTGTTTTTGTTTGTTTGCTTGTTTTAAGTAAGGGTTTTCTACATTATTTCATCTTGCTTGATGGGATTCCTAGGTGATTTGCATGTTTACGAATAAGTAAGCAAATTAAGTTAGTACAGTTAAAATGCAGATTGTGTCTGTATTAGGAGCAGACATTTGCAGTGTGCAGCTTAGAAACCCTGTTGTAAATTCATAATCATGGAGTCATAGAATGGTTAGGGTTGGAAGGGACCTTAAGATCATCTAGTTCCAACCCCCCTGCTGTGGACAAGGACACCTTCCACTAGACCATGTCACCCAAGGCCCTGTCCAACCTGGCCTTGAACACTTCCAGGGATTAATAAAAGTTAACTTGGACAAAATTAAGCAACCTGAAAGATGCCAAATGAGTTACTCCTTTCACTTTTGGGGTAAGGGGAGGGACACTTCAAAGGAAAGATTCACATATTAATTTTTACATAAAAAGAAAAAATATCAAGTACCAGATATTTGTTTATTGTACTTAATTAATTTAATTTCTAGTGTAAAGAATTTTTTCTTAACATGCAGTTTAGGGTTCATACATGCATTCTGACTCATAGTAATTTAAATTAGTGGTAAAGTAGAATGCTTGCATCACATATGAGTGAAATTGGTATACATTTACCTATGTTGTGCCAGTCTTGTGTTGCAGTTTACCAATTCAATATAGCCCTGCATTTAAAATTCCTTTTCTGAGATTCTGTGGATCTTATTTTTATTAAGAATATAAAGTACTGTAGCTAACAATTAGGTCTTGAAACACTTTTCTAGGATCTGTTAAGATTAAGACTGATATTGTATTGTGTGTAACCTGCACAATGTGGAAAACTGATATAACTGTGCAAGATATTTGCCTCTGTGCTGTCAGTGTGATGTGCTTTCTGCATGCTTATATGCTAGTGATTTTTAGCAGAATCTCTAAAAGAGTTACATGGTAAGACCTATTAAAGGCTACATAAATGTTAGTTGACACATAAAGACAATTGTAGAAGTCAGTGACATGGTTGCTATATTTGTGTGTATTCCCACTCAACATATTACCTTTTATGCTTTCTGTTCACAGCATGATCTTAGAGGTGTTTAACGGATGTAATGTAAGGTATCTACAATGTATTAGCGCATGTTGATAGCCCTTTGCAATGTAGGTAAATGCACAAGCGTAAAAGTTTAAAGCTACAGAGTAAAAGTTGGTTTGGATCCTCGTCATTTCATTTGTTTAGCTTTTCTGTTGATGTTCTGGGTTTTTTTTGGTTGTTTTGAGTTTGGTAATTTTTCCCTCTATACTTACATGTATTCCTGTGAATAAACCCTTGTTAACTCTTTACTTCTCTTTCCATGTGTATTTTCTTATGTACTGTGAATGTGTAACCCTAACTGGTACATTTTGATCTTGTGTTCCTCTGAAAGTGGCAAGTCTTTCATTTATATTGCCTAAAGAGTATCCCATGATGATAAAGGAAAATGGAGAGATTTTTAAATCTGCTGGTCAGAGGTGAAGCTGCACTTTTCCATTTTTTCAAGTGCTGCATAATGAGCCTGCAAAACAAAAGTAAGCCATAACAGCCTTTGTATAGATTTAGTTTCTCACCTTTGCATTGCAAAATTGGATATTGGATAATAGTTTGGATGGGAGTTTTTTGGTGGTTTGTGCTTTGTTTGTGAGGTTTTGGGGTTTTGTTTGCTGGTGGGAGGGGTGGTTTTTGAAGAACTTGCTGCTCTTTGCATGGTTTTGTTCTTTCCGTGTTAAATGATTTAGCTATTGCACTGAAGCTTGAGCTGTACGAGTGTGAACTTATAAATGCTGTTTGGGGGCTTTTGTTTATGCATGATAGCATGCGTGCTTTAAATGTGTCGCATTGTCTCACCCTCCTTTTTGGGGGGGGGGGGGCTTTGCAAATTTAGATGGATTATGCCTGAAGAATAGTTTAGACATGTACTGTATGAAGTACATTCAGTAATGCTAGTACATAGTATTTATTCATTTTGGACAAATTTGCATGTGATAACTGGCTTTCAAATTACATTGCTTTGGTAGCAAATACAAAATCTCAATTAATAGCGCTGAAGTAAATTAGTAATAGTTTTAGTCACTAAAAACACTTGAAAACCAAGTTCTGGAAGAAGAAGGAAAAAAAACTTTAAAGCTTAGCAAGGTAGGATATTATTTTAGATGCAAACTTGCTTTAATTTTGAGTGTGTTTGAACATCAAGGAAGAGTTTCAGATAAATGACATTAAAAAAATTTGTAGAATAGAAAATCAAATAATTCTGTAGCATTACAGCTGGAATCTGAGTTTCACTAAACTTTCAATTTCAGAAAGCCCCTTTAACCAAATAAAACCACTGCACCTCAGATTAGTTTAGCACTTTTAGATTAGCTTGGCACTTTTTTTACATAGTATTTTCATAAGTATTTGTACGGATGTGAACTGATCTGGTATAAAAGCAAGGAAAGTAGCTAAGGCAGAAATAAACAGTACTGACAAAATAGCCTTTTGTGCCAGTATGCTCTCTCGTGGTATATTTTAAAGCAAATAAACCATATTTCTAATGCATAATATAGCACAGACATTTTCAGAAGCCCTTTAGGGTTTAATCTGAGGTAAGAAAAGTTCTAAATCAGCATTAACAGTTATAATTCAATGATTGTGTCATGGGATATATAAAAAGTATTTTAGTTCTTGTGGTGTAGTCTTGACAGTTCTTGAATGATGACTGAATGTTTATACTAGTAGAATTGTGAGTTTGTTACATTTCAGTATTTCTGCCTCTTGGCATGCTAAAAGCATGGCTTCATTTGCTCCTTACACACCTAGTATAGTGCTTGTAGTCTGCTAAACTACAGAAATAGCTGCTGCTAAGTAATGGTGTAGGTTTTCTACTTAAAAATTTTTGTTGTAGGAACCTCAGGAGGTCACTGTTTAATGTTTTTATATATGCCCTCTTTCTGCTTTGAGTTTCCCTTTCTGAAGGATTCAGAGAATGAAGAAAAGCTGCTGATCAAACTAAGTTGGTACCAGAAAGGGCATTTTAAATCCTTATAAAATGCATCTTTTTGGCAGTTCTAAATTGCTGTTAAGTTGTTAGAAATGCAATAATTCTTTTTTTTCTTTTTTTTTTTATTAGACATTCAGGAAACAGGTTTTTTATTTAGGAGAAAAAAAAGATTAGAATAGTTCATTATTTTAGGCAGTGCAAGCAAAAGTAATCAATTTTGTAATTTTCCAAAGCTTATTTTCTGAACTGGTGAACATGTATATACTTAAATTGTAATAAGCTAATACTTATGCTTTAGTTTATTGTTCCTTAAAGCTTGCACTCAAAAGATCAAGTTTGAAAGAGTGGGGTTATAGTCATTGTAATTTTTAGAAGTTATGAAGTAGCATAAATTTTGTTACTAACAATATTGATACACTCCTTTGGGGCGTTGGGGGGGGGAGTTAGGACTTTTATGTTAGCATCAATCTTAATTGCTTAAAATGCATATATCGTATAATAGTAAAATGTATATTTTAATGTTACAGGAGGCTTTCCTCAAGTGAAACTCATTGCTACTTAGAAATATTCAAATACTAGCTTTATCTCAGGTGAATACTCTTGAAACCTTCTTGTTCAGAACACATGCTTATAAAAATGTGTCTTAATTATATCTCTTTATGTTTATCATATTAAGCAGCTTCTCTTTCTTAAACTTAGTCTAAATTAACCTTCTACTGTTGGACAATAATGACTTTTGCTTCACCTATTTTATTCATATTGAATGTGTTAACAGATAAAGGTGCATTCTTCCCTTGAGGAGAATGCATCCATGTTTAAACAACTGAAATTTTTCTTGACAAAATGCTTAAAATGTAACATTTTATCGGAAATCTTTTGTTTCAGATTTTGTCAAGGAAAGAAGTTTCAACTTAACACTAATTGCTTCATTACTAATGCATAAACCATAGAATCATAGAGTGTTTTGTGTTGGAAGGGGCATTAAGCTCATCCAGTTCCAACCCCTTCCCACAGACAGGGACACCTTCCACTAGACCAGGTTGCTCCAAGCCCCATCCAACCTGGCCTTGAACACTTCCAGGGATGGGGCAGCCACAGCTTCTCTGGGAAACCTGTGCCAGTGTCTCACCACCCTCACAGGGAAGAACTACTTCTATATATGGTCCACAGAGTAACTTTTTATCTGAGATAAAGGTTAAACTCTTGTAGTGAAATGATTACTGTAAATTGCAAAACATCCTGCAGTTATTTCAGATAGATACTGATGTATTTTGCATACATAATTGTGATCGATTACATATTTCCAGTAACTTCATCTTGAGTAAATAAAGCTTGATCAGTAGCTGTGTATTTCACTTGCCAATGCCAGAATGACTTGCATCCATATCAGTCTATTAAGTAGTTTTCCCCAGTAGTAACCTCTTTTTGTCTGCTGCTGATAATTGCTCTTTGCACTTAATGGTTGGAGCAAGCCAGTTTGGGATAATTAGTTTAAATGGGAAACTCTGAGGTGAGTAGTCTTGGTTTTTGCCCTGTAGAGTATATTCTGCTAAAATAAAAAGGATACTTACTTGAATGTATTTATGTGAGGGAAGTTAAAATGGCTGTATAAAAGGTGAATACAACAGTATACTTTTTAAGTAAGCCAAATCCACATCTGAAAGAATTCAACACTTACAGTATAGTATCACTTTTCTATAAGCTGGTTCTATTGTGCTATTTTCACCTTAGGTATCCAATTCCTTACTTTGGGTGAGCAACAAAACTGAGAATGCCTGGGTGATTTTTGTGGGGACAGTGATTAGATAAAAGATGGATATAAGCAGGTTTATTTGGCTGCTGAAATCTCCAGTGCAATATTATCTTTTTCTCATGGGAAGAGGTAGGTAGCTATGTATGTCTGACTAATACTAAATACTTTTGAAATTTTTAATTGATGCAGTATATAAAATAGTTTCAAACGTAAGATGTCTGATCTTTTTGCTGACAACTTAGGTTGAATGAGTTTTGCTTGAAAGCTTTAAAACTGATGTTTCTGTATCTGCCACAAAGTTGGAATGTTTCCTTCAAACATATCCTCTTGCGACCTCTCAGACTATACTAAATTGAGTGATATTTCTTGAAGTCTGCCCATTTGCTAACAGAACTTGGTTTGAAATAGACTATGGTTATAATTTCTGATAAACTGATGAACTTTAAAGGGTTTTGGGGGCCGCCAGATATCTTGGATCATGCAGAGAATATGTATTGTACTGTAATAATTTTGTATTTATATTTGTATGATGTGACATAATAGATGTGAATGTTAATCACAGCTTGACTATGTTAATAAAGTTGTTTAAATCTAGATGTTGCATTTCAATTTTTAATGGAAGATGAAAATTTCATGTTCAGTTTGTGTTTTGTCTGACTCGGTAGGGTACTCTTCTGGTCTACACATGTTAGTTCTAGAGGCTTTCGTATGAGGAAAATTTTCATTTTATCTGAACAAAAATGATCTTTGGATAAGTTAAGGTCAATTCAGTTTAGATGTTTTGTGCTACTTGCGGGCAGATAAGCATAGACACAGGTTTACCTGAAGTGAAACTAATGTTTTTGGGGTGATACTGGTAAGTGCTCTGCTACTGAGAAATGTTACGTTGTTACAAGTGCTATCTTGACTGTATTTGTATTTGGGTAGTTTTGTTTCTGTCTTCTTTCAAATGGCCCTCCCCATTCCCATTCTGCTGTGAGGTAGTTGTGGTACAGCATGCTGCTGTCAGTGGGAGACGAACAAAACATCTGACTATTGACTCAGAGCCTAATCTTACAATATGGCTTCTAATCTTGAGTCTGAGGTGAACTACAACTTGTATTTACAAACAATTTGAGTAGAGTAAGTACTAGCATCTTACATAAGTGAAACAAATGTTATGACTGAGTTTGTGGTCAGATTGAAACAGTGCAAGGGCTGTCCTTTCAACATGTCATGCTATTTTTCTTTTTTTTTTAAAAAAAAAAGGACATTTCATTATGTGTGCATAAAATAATTTCTTATGTATGTTAAATGCTTACAGAATAAATGTTGGTAGCTTTTGTTATCCTGGAATGACACCTAATGAAACATTCTGATTATATAAAGTATTAATATGTAAAATGCACTTCTTTCAGAGGCATTTGCCCTTGTTTTGCATAAAATGAGCAATATACATTCCTGTGTAACATTATCTAGGTGTTCCTGCTCCGGCAGGAGGATTGGACTAGATGATCTTTCGAAGTCCCTTCCAATCTCTAGCATACTGTGATACTGTGAAACCTCCCAAAAGACACCCAACTATTCATCTGATT